TTAATTGAGTTCTCCTACATGTAGGTGCATGATTAATCCTATTTATGTCACTAGTTGTATTTAATTCAACTACTCACTTGTCATCTTCAATATCCATTGCCTCCAGCTCAGAGGTGACCTCCTCAATTTCTCTTCTAAGCTCCTGTAACAATAAAGTACAACCTTTATGTAGAAATTATATGTAAATAAAATGGGTTTTGACATCTTATTTTTCTGCACCAACCAGGCTGATGAAGAAGGGCAAACACCATGCAATATATGACGGCCATTTTTCTCAGACTGCAAACTCTTCTTCAAATTCCAATTGCCAAATGTTCTTTTATGTAAATGCCAATGATGTGACTTCACAGTTTTTTTTTTGTCCCATCCGAACGCTTTCCATGACCTCTATTCTGAACTACTGACAAGGGGAAACCAGACAGACTGAAAAATCCTGAGGAACTTTATATGACAACACTGGGATTAAACTCCGGACCTCCTGGTTAGTGAGCCAGGGCCTAAATTGTATGTAATAATGTGAATTTAACAATGTGAAAACACACGTCCTGTAAGCAAAAGAAAACTTTCAAACCTCTACTCAGTTGGAAATCGGGTCAGGCCCCAAAGGTAATGCCATGGCTTATTTCTCTGTTGTTCTTTCAACCACAAGAAGTCTGAGTCTGGGCTTTGAGTCATTTGGAAATAATGGCTAGAGTAGCTTAAAGATGTCAAGTTTCTCATTTAAGGAACTTTATGACTATTTACGACTATAACTTCAGCATGTTTATCCAGGCACTTACAAAGTGCAGGATTTAAAAACTTGAGACCAATCCTTTCAAACAAACTAAAAGTTTGTGTTTTATCAAAATGTATTTGGGACTTGTCCTTTAAATGACCGCACCAATGAAGTCCTCATCCACACCCTTTGGCATACTTAATCATTCAATTTATAATTTACCTGAATTTCATCTATGAGCTGCCTTTTCTTATCTCTGATACTATATAGTAGTGTTCTATCATTAGATGGAAGTTCTAGAAAAGAATAAACAATTTAATTTATGCATGAACAAAGTGAATGATATTACCAATAATATTTTAAGGATTACATTACCACTACATGTATGTATAATCAGGGTAGTTGTTACCTTGTATCTAGTTGACTATAATCTACAGCCCAGTTGGCATGCTCTTGGAACTAAATTAACTTAAATGGCTTGATATAACTGCCATCCCTATAATAACTACAATGTGCAGATATTGTGTGCAGATATTGTTGACAAAAAACCCATCACAATTAGTGACTTCCTGCCTATTGCAGGTCTTTCTTTAGGCCTGAATTGTTATATAAACTATTAATTAGACATTTATTAACATGAAAAGACCTTAATCAACTCTCGATGCCATCTTATGTGTCGGATTTTCACTGGATTTGAATCCATTGATGATTAAATCCAAAAATGGATAATCCAGGCTATGTTTTTTATCGTACCGACTTTAGTAATGATGATCAAGGCTAGGCCTAAAATTCAATCACTAATATCTTGGTTCATGGAGCAATTTGACTGAAATTTTCAGCATATTCATTTTACATTATCTAGACAATCAAGTTTTTAACTATTATAGTGAGAACTGCCAGCTCTTTATCTAATCTTCCATAATGTATCTTTAATATATCACTGAATTGATGTATCACGATCCACCTTTCCACAATACACCACTGCTAATTGAGAAACAATTAAATTCTATTATTAGGGCTGCCAGTTGATACCGGTTTCAAGTAACGATGATTGCCGACCATCCGCCAGTCTATAATCAATAATATCAGCAAAATATTTTTACTTAAAACTGTTTAGAAAACATTCATAATTTGAATATGAATAACAAATTATATGTGAGGTTATGCTGTAATATCATTATGTATACATGTAGAATTTGTTTCATTGATAACATAATAGCATTCCATACCAAAACTAATGTGTCGAAACTCAATCAACAACATTGTGCATTTGGAAGACAGAACTGTCCCCACTGAGACATATCTTTGTCACTGATGACAAGAAAAATCAATAATGAGTAAAATGTATTTATTTCCTTTTGATCACATGAAACAGATTCCGCATCCCATTTACAATAACATTTTATTTTGTTGTTGTTTTGCGCAGAAAATGTCTTATATTGTTGCTTAATACATGTATATATATTTTACTGGGCGATTGATATTTAGAAATGAAATGCAATGGGGTTTAACGTCCTAATTTGAGATTTAGAAACAGAGCAGACGCAATAAATAAGAGTAAAAGAAGGGGCACAACTCTGAGTATCATGTGAAACTATTTCCTCTCTCCATAAGCGGTAGCATCTTGCATGATAAACAAAATGTGTGAGTATAATGACTTTTCTGTCTAATTACAGTTAACGAGCTAGGCCGAAACACGAGTTGTAATAAATACTGTGATAAGAATTATCTTTTATAAATTTCTTCGTACAAGTGACTACATGTACCTATAATTGCGCGATTATCGATATTTTAAATCTGTATCTACAAAGATATTTTATCCATCGCCAAAAATCTCCAAAATGATCTCTATTTGGTTGCTAAATGGTGTGAAAACAATGGGATGGTAATCAATCCTTCGAAAACAAAATCAATGCTGATTTCAACAAAACACAAAAGAAATCAGAAAAACCTAACTTTATCACTCCATGGTGAGAAAATTGAGACGGTTACTACCGCAAAATTACTTGGAATTCAAATTGACCAAGACCTTAATTGGGAAGCACAGATAGCAGATATGTCTAAAAAACTTGCATCAAAAATATTTCTCCTAAATAAGATAAAAGATCATTTACCTTAAGAGACAAGAATTTTGTTTTATAACAGTTACATACTACCAATATTTGATTATTGCTCTATTATTTGGGGAAATGCTACCAAAAGTAGATTAGACATTCTTTTAAAATTACAAAAGAGGGCAGCAAGAGCTATTCTTGATGCACCGATTGAAACTCCGTCCACCTCTTTATTTACTAAACTCGGTTGGCTTACCCTTACACAGAGGATTCTTTACAATAAAATTGTCTTATCATTCAAAATTATTACATTTAATACTCCACTTTATCTAAATTTCCATTTTATTGAAAAATCTCTTGTTTCCAAAACGGATATCTTGCTCCGTTCACAGACCAGTAAATCTCTTTTTCTTCAAAAATGCAAAACGGAATCCATGAAACGTACTTTTCATTATTCTGCATGTCTTTTATGGAACAATCTGCCTTTTGATATAAAGATGTGTAAAAATGTTGAAAATTTTAAGATTAAACTGAAAACTCATTTATTTTGCACACTGAAGGAACCATAATATTCAACTGATGACATACTTATTATTTTTAACTTGCAACTGCATTCTATTTTATTTTGTGTGTAATTATAGTGTTCTTCCTATATTCTACTTGTATAATGTATATGTTTTGTAGTTTGGGAGTGACTTATCAAACTTCCCACTTTAAAATGCTATTGCATTTCTAATGATTTTAAATTTATCCTGATATTACATGTATATATGTCTTTGTAGTTTAGGAGGGACCTATGGAAGATTAGTTTTTTTTTTGCAAACTAAATACGTTGCCTCATTAAATAAAGTTATTATTATTATTATTATTATTATTATCATTATCAATTATCGATCTTCAAAATGTTTTACCAACAATTATCGGCAATATCAATATTTTCTGCCAGCCCTATCTATTATAGATTATTCAATGAATTTGACAGATTTTTGGTACGTCATGAGGGGTCACATAAGCTCTTCTACATCCTAGCCTATATAACAGACTATTATTATTAAGCTCTACTTACATCACTATCTATAAACAATAATCTATTTAGTACCCAAGTTGTTTTTTCTTGTTAAATTTGTGACCTAAATATATGTATCACAATTTGAATAGCATTACATCACAGATGTGTTATGGTATGTGTTGTGTCATGACTACAGTTCGAATATTCCACACTAAGTGTCATGAGTTACTAAACTAGATATTTAGCAACCAGAAGTAGCCTATTGGCACAAATAACACAGTTTGACATTGTCGTAAACAACTGACAAATTTTACACTAGACATTACAGAATAGTGATGGTAAATTGCACGGGATGAAGACTAAAACAAAATATTCATTGATTTAAAACAGGTTAGCTAGCTTTGTAGTTTGTATTAATTTGGTAACGATAATCTTAGTTATGACTCCCTCTGCTGGCTTCAATGTGACAGGCTTCTCTTTTTCAGCTGTTTTCGGATACTGATCGAATTGATCTTAAATTTGACAAGCAACTGCTTTCCATTAATTTGCTGCATGATAATTTAGAAATGATAATCTAATCAAGGTTAATTATAACTCTATTCAGAGAGCAACTCCCTCCTCTGGCTTTGAGGTGACACTGTGACTGTGACAGGCTTCTCTTTTACAGTTCCCTGGATGCTGGCTGAATTGGCGTTGAATTTGACAAGAAACTACTTTCCATTAAATGTGATAAAATATATTATATTATGATTTATATTAATTCACGTCCCGTCAAACATCTGTAAAGAGACTTGGATTTTGGTGGGCCTGACTAGGCCCAAGTCTAAAAATAAACAACCCAAAAAAAGTGGGCAAGGCTATCAGAGATTGGATTGTTTCAATACCTTCCACATTAAAACCGCCGTCTTGGTTTGTCTCCACCATCGTGGAACTCATTTCTTTCTGGCAAATAAAAAATGCTAGTATCTATGTGTCTTAAAGTCGGTATTTATAACCAAACACTTCTTGACTCAACTTCCTCTTGCAAAGTCAGCCATCATAGATGACAGGTCTCGTAAAATCTCGTACGTGCGAGAACAGGTACTTGTTGGTCAAAGATAATATGGATGCGAAGAGAAATACGTAAAAGATATCAGGTTACAATTCATAATGTAATTTCTAAACTTGTTCTGATAATTATAAATGTTTTATATGTAAACAATAAAGTCACGAAACGGGTGATGCCTCGCGCGGGTGACGAAAGTAGGACACGCCTACTTCTCTCCCCTTGGTCTTGTTTTCGGACGAAAATTCATCTCTAAAGAAAACCAATGTAGCACAAAATCATATCAGGTTATTTTCTTGTCACACTTTAAAAGAAGAAACACTTGCACATATTATTTCAATTATTCTTACCTTTACAATATCTGTTGTCTTCTTCCATTTCGCAATATGACGAGTTTATGAGTGATTCATATTTCTCACTTCATCAGAATCACTTTTTGTTGTTGTTTAATTATGAAGTATATTTTAAAAACATTGACATTGTTTTTGTTGAATTAACAATGATGATGAGGTAGGATCCAGGAAATAGATGTCTAAGTTAGATGTTTTATGTTGTAGGATATAGTCTAGTACATTAAATGAATAGTGATATCTTTGTCTGGCACAAAATGAAGCTGATCTGCAGATCTACTTGAACCGTTGATGCTAAATTCCTTGCATTCTCGTAAGAACTTATGAAATGTCATGACTGTAAATAAAGACCAACTGCTGCTTCTGTTTATATGAGTTTATTTCAGTATATCCTCTTTTATATACCATTTGATACTTGGATTATCTGATTGTATTGCGGAGTTTGTAATAACCTCATATAAATACCTGGATACTGAAATAGTTCTCAAGAGACATTAAAATAGTCTAAATCTATCACTTAACTGCTTGTCGCAAACTGACAACTAATTTTAATATGATGTGATGTGTCTATAAAGTTCATCAAGATACATGTATATTCAGATTAGAATATATTCAAAATACACTTCTTTTCTTTAAGTAGGCCTACTAGGTCAGCTCATTACTTCGCTAATATGGTGAATCGTCCCAGAATCTCAAAAAATGTGATATGAATAAAATTAGGCAATTTTTTATGCCGTTAGTAACCGAAAGTAGACTCAAAGCTGAGACTAGTAGAAGAATGTGTATTTATTCAGAATTATTTACTTGAGTCTACTGTGTCTACTTCGGATAAACTACAAGTATAACATTAATATTATGGTAAATATAACATAGAATATAAAGATTATAATCAGATATGCCTAAAGGCCTAAACCAATATTTTAATTACAAATAAATAGATATGATAAATTGAATGATAAATCTTTATTTGGGGATAAAATTAAGTTGGGTAAAAATGATATGGTCTTGTGTAAAGATTAGCTTACTTGTCAGATTTAGCAAAAGAGCCGGAACAAAGGGTTTTTATCTCATACAATTAGATAACACCTGAATAAGATTAAGAATAAACATTAAACAATTAAGAATGTTAATTGGATTAAAAAAAGTCAAGTGGGATATTAATTAGCAGTAGTCATTTGGTTGCTTTATTTAGTAACTTTTTGGTATTCAAGCAGCCTACTGCATATATGTACATAATTATGTGATCTGTGATATCGTTTGAAATAAGAAACAAGACCCTTGTGTGCAGATATTTTGACTGTATTTCTAGACTGATATTTTTTTCACATGTTTTTTGCATATGAGTCTACATGTAGGCCTACATGCAATAAAGCATCTAGGGATATCTGCCATATGTTGTATATAGATAAAGAACAGAGATTATAGTTAGTAAGAGGTTTTGTTGTTGAGTAACTTAAGTTCTGTTTTCATTACCAAATAGATAATGTGTTTATGGTTATTCCTGAAATAGGCAACATGCATGATGTGTGTATGATGATAAGAGATTTACCATTCATTGGTTAGAAGTTATTTCTAATGAAGACAAAATTATTAAGAATGTGTTAATATAATATTCATAGCACCCTTCATGTGCTCAGGGCACCATTTTCAGATTGCAAATTTGAAATAAAGATTATTATTATTATTTTATAAGGTGTACATTAAAATATTACCAATTTCTGAAATGTTTCTTCTGTAATGCCAAGAATCTGTTAGTTGAAAGTAATGCTAGGTTATATTTAAATTGAGAAAGATTAAAGTAAGCCTAGGCTTATGAGTCTATTGGAATTTAGAATAAAATACATGAATTATGATCCTGTCACAGTTCCACATGATAAATATGATAGGAGGTTTAGAGGAACTGCTTTGTCTAGTGGTACACCTTTGTCACTGGTATCTCTTCACGGTGGAAATGGACATTAAAACAGTAATAGGTCTATGCTGTATGCAAGCCAGAAGAATTTGTATTAATAAATCAGCTTCTAATCATATTAATTGTTGAATATGCATATTAATATAGAAATTCTAACAGTTTAAGCTCTGATACTTGCATTCTTCTTGAATAATGACCATTGTCTATATCTCTCAATTACATGTATGTTGCTTGATGTAAACTATGGAAACCTGTTGCGACCTGTTTGCAATTGCAATCTTAATTTCACTTTCCTTCATCCTCAACTTCTTGACTTCGTAACTTTTTGCCCCTCAACTTCTCGCCTATGACTTCTTGTCTATGACTTCTAGCTCCCGATCGCTCCCGATTCCTCGAAGTCTCACTCTGAGAAGTTGAGATTATAGAATGGCTGCAACAGACGTCAATAGTACCACTATAAACAAACCTTAACTTTTTACTTAAGAAATGTTGAGGTTTTAAGGATTCATTTTCGCAGATGACCATAAAATAGCATGTTTTAACTCTGTGAAAGGTTGGAGTTGGTTGGTTTCCATGAATTAAAAACAATATTGCTTCTTTAGATAATGCTATTTCACACACAGGGAACTACTTGCCAAATAAAAAACCCCACAAACTTCATGTAGAAATACATAACCCAATCACATAAACTGGCCACTAAAGGTTTTCATCAGAAAATTCTTACACGACATACTGTACGTACATGTACATGATTAGAATACTACACTATGCATAGCAGTAAGCTTAGCCGTTTACTCATGAATTATATAAATAAAATCATTATGTTTTCTGTTTATAGATTGAATGTGATGTTATCTACGAGTGTTTATAATGAGACATTAAGAGGAATATATTCAACTAACTCACCATGGTTTTACTATTGGTTATCATTAGTTTAGTTGTTTCCTTCACTTTAATTTTCGTTCTCCTCGGATGCTTTCAATGTTTTGCTGGAAATAAAAGTAAAGGCTTCTCGGTAAGACAATTTGATTTCTTTAAGTTTGGTTGCGATCTTTCATAATTGCAATTTGAATATACCTGTAGGTTTTTTTAATAGGTTGCCTCCATTTCCTAACCACATCTAGTCAATAATGTTCTGAATTCAGTGGCATTATAATTTATATCAGACAATGCATTTTCAACTTTAAAACTATAAAAAATTGGGGCTTTGATTTTGACGCCTTTTATTGAAGTAAAATGAACTTTTATAAGTGTTATCTTATTTTGAAAAGATGCCCACACAATTCTTGATTGTTTATTTTCTGTTACCTGCACAGCAATTAACAGATACTAAATTCTTTTTTTCAGACTTTTGAAAATCCTACTGAAGAAGCCATAGCATCGCAGGGTTTTGAAAATGAAGGAATTTCGTTGGAACCATCAGATCTGGTTACGGTTGATTCCAGTGGTTTTACGTCTGTAACGATTGAACCACTGCCTGATATATTGAGTAAAACTGTTTCTACGTCTGCTCTAAGACCACGCATCAGATGTATAGAAAAATCTAAACAGGAATCAGCATTGAGATTAATTAGTAAGAAATTAGTACAAAATTATAGTTATTTCCCTTTTCAGGGTTTTGTAAAGCAGTCTAAAGGGTACTGTTTGCCTTGAATCACTACTGTGATTAGCTGATTTCATGATTGTACTGTATCATGGTTTTCTTCTGGTTCTTGTTAGTCTTTCGTTTCTCCAGCTACAAATAATTGTAGCTCTGTGCACAAGTGAAATAATGAAAATAAAACAAACCCTTCCCAGACCTGTTTTAATGTAGTTAGTTTCATCCCTGTGTCTTATGGAAAGGAACAAGGTTCCGTGGATCTGTTAAATTGCGCTGTAGGGATGCAAAAATAGACTGCATTTGGAATTCATAAACTTAGGGCTATTCCGTCAAATTTGAAGCCGTACATGTATATAATCATTGGTATGAACTTAATTGTATTCTTCAGTTGCTGTTGATATAGTCTACACAAAAGTTTTATTTTCAAATCAAAATCATTTTTTTCAGCTGTACATCATCCGTTTCCAAGAGCTCAGCTAACCTATTTAAAAGAAATTGGTTCATCATGGTTTGGACAGGTATATTATACAGATTTCTTTAAAAGCTGTTGATTGTCATTTGTGGTATTTTGAGTCCCTTGCAAACTACGATATTCTTAAAGTTGATTCTCTTAAACTTTTCAATTCTTTTCTGTATTTACAAAGATATGATGAACCCCGGAATTTTGCAACATATGACATCCGCTGCAGACATTATAAACAAGCTAGCGTCACCATGTAAAATGTACATGTATGTTGAGTGGTGCAGGACAATGTATGTTCAGATGGGACAAAAAATAGAGGTCCCATGTACACATTGGTGTGCATGTAAAAGATCCCTTGGCTGTTGGATTTCTATATAAGAGTACGCTGTAGTGCCACTGTCCGGGCAAAATTTCTCTTACTGTATGGCATATGCCTGCCTGTCTTACTGGAGCAGAACCGTCAAACCCCATTTCCTTTCATTTCAGTTTTGTTTTCTTAATTAAATGTTTAATATCTTGATAAATTAAAGTAGAAATTGTATAAAAACTGCAAATGAGATTGCTTGTTTAATTTGTATATTATACAGATATAATTCAAATTTGTTTATTTGTTGTCATTGAGAAGAATTTGGATAGACCTGTCCAAAAGCTGTAAGAAAAATTATTAATTTGCTTACTGTTACTGTTGAAATTAAAACATTATGTGACATATGTGTTAGGGATATGAATTATTCGATTTGTAGAAATTTTACATTTTCTAATATCATTTTTAAAAATGTATTCTGCATATTATTGTAGGTCATAGAAACTGATGCAGAGAAAATATTATCAGGTGTAGCACGTAATCGTGTTATTGTTAAGGTATTAAAAGATGGTGCATCTACAGTAGAACAGAAACAGTTTCTAGAAGATGTTGCTCCATACAGAGAACTTGATCATATTAATATTATACGTCTCCTTGGTCAATGTACAGAAACAACACCACTTCTTTTAGTACTGGAGTTTGCTCCTTTGGTATGTAACTGATCATATTTACTAAAATTTTGATTGGTGGTTGCCAGGGCTCAAGGTTTTGTTAAAGGGGAAGACAAATGATTTTCGACAAGGTTTCTATAAATTTTAAATATATATTCAGAAATAATCCCCTCTGTAAAACAAGCAAAAGGGTGTTTGTAAGCAAGAAATTATTTTTTAATAAAGCATGAAGTGATGTAATTGGTCTCTATAGTAAGCATACATATTTGGCGTATGTTTAGAGCTCTATTTTGTTCATGCATTATTGTTTGGATGAAAATCTAATCAAAGGGATTGTTTATTGGGATAATATAAACATGAAATTATGTTTTATCTATGTTTAATACACAAATCTGACGTGTAAATTGTGAAATTATGTTAGCACTCTAGAGGTCTTGTTAAATATTTTCTGGTCTTGCTTACTATAAAAAAAAAGACTTAACCTTTTTATTATACGTCCACATTCATAATGTGAACGTATTATGCCGTCGCCCCTGTCTGTGTGTGTGTGTGTGTGTGTGTGTGTGTGTATGTATGTGTGTGTGTGTGTGTGTGTGTGTGTGTGTGTGTGTGTGTCTGTGGTTCGCCTACAGGGCGCAATTCTTCATGGATTTTCTTCAAACTTGGTATACTTATTCCTTATACCCCAAGGAAGATCCCTATTGTTTTTGGTGCATGCCCGACCCCCCGGGGCAGAGCCACGCCCATTTCTAGTATTTGTTTGTTTGTCGTCTACAGGCCACATTTCTTAACTAATAATCTTGAAACTTTGCATACACATTCTTTGTACCCTAAGGAACATCCCTATCGTTTGGGGTGCATGCCCAACCCCCAGGGGCAGAGCCACGCCCATTTTCTTTTCGTGTGTCTTTGTGTCGCCTACAGGGCGCAATTCTTACTGGATTTTCTTCAAACTTGGTATACTTATTCCTTATACCCCAAGGAAGATCCCTATTGTTTTTGGTGCATGCCCGACCCCCAGGGGCAGAGCCACGCCCATTTCTAGTCATATTACCAGTTATTCAATTTCCCTTCCCGTGTCCAAAATACAATATATTATTAGTCGCGTGTTTGAGTCCTCGATTTATAGGTTCATACTTATCTGGTCATACATGTAACCTGTCAATAGATATATTGTTTCCAATTCTTAATCAATCGTCTTGAATTTTTTTCATATGAATTGCTTATACCCTAAGTATGATTCCCTATTGTTTTTGGTGCATGCTCAACCCCCAGGGGGAAAGCCACGCCCATTTTCTTTTTTTTATGTCTGTGTGTCGTCTACAGGCCACAATTCTTAATCAATCGTCTTGAATTTTTTTCATATGAATTGCTTATCCCTAACGATAATCCCTATTGTTTTTTTACCCCCAGGGGCAGAGCCACGCCCATTTTCTTTTCTGTTTATGCCTGTGTGTCACCTACAGGCCACAATTCTTAATCTATCGTCTTGAAAAATTTTCATATGAATTGCTTATACCTAACGATGATCCCTATTGTTTTTGGTGCATGCCCGACCGCCAGGGGCAGAGCCACGCCCATCCCTTATATTTATTTATTTGTTTGTCATCTACAGATCGCATTTCTTATCGTATCACCTTGAAACTTAGCATACATATCCCTTCTATCCTAAGGAACATCCCTATTATTTGTGGTGAATACCCAACCCACAGGGGCAGAGCTACGCCCATTTTCTTTTTTTTATGTCTGTGTGTCACTTGCAGACCGCATTTCTTAATCGATCATCTTGAAAACTTTTTTATACTTATTCCTATAGTCTAAGGCTACTGTTTTATACTTATTCCTTAATCCTAAGGCTGACCTCTATTATTATTTTTGGTGCATGCTCGACCCCTTGGGACAGAGCCACGCCTAATGTTTGTGTGTCTTGTGTTTTGCCTACAGGCCGCAATTCTTAACAGATCCTTTTGAAACTTTGCATACCTATTCGAAACGTCATGCTTTTAGAATAAAGACATTGTTTTAAAATAAAAATTGTGTTCTGTTAATGTGAACGAAATGTTAAACTGATAGCAGTCCTACAACCCAGTTTTATTTCACAGACTCTCAATGCAAACTGGACCATATCAAACAAAACAGGAATGTGGACGTATATTGCTGCGTTAGCGATGCTCTTGTTAAGAGAAGATGTGATGTTACTTGAAGTTTCTCAGTAAAAACTACAAAACAGTGTAGGCTATATATTGCACAATATATAAAGGGAATATTTTTTCAATGGTGTGCCAATCTGCACAACTGGCATTAGTACGTTTTGTTGCCTGTTAACTTATGTGTTGTCTTGAACAGGGTAAATATTGTTAAAAATTGTTTTGTTGTGACCTGGTAAATATTGTTTAAAATTATTTCATTGTTATTTTTATTTAGGGAGATTTGAAGGCTTATTTAAGGAATCATAAAACTGATTCAGCTACATTTATACAAAAGAATCTGCAGTTGAGGTTTGCTTTAGATGTTGCTAGTGGTTTAGCCTGTTTACATAGACATAGTTATCTCCATCAGTAAGTATTGTACCATGGATGCTACTTCGACCGTATATTCCGGACATGTCATACTTGATTGTCCAAACGTCCGACCAGGTATGTGCCCAATCAGACATCAAGATATGGTGAATAATATTCAAAATTTCATCTCGATTATCAGACCAGTCATCAATCCAAATAAAGTAAATGAAAAAACTGATATTAAGACTAAGTTCTTGATTTCAGGTATCTTTTCCATGATTTGAATATCTTTGCTTTATTTTTTGGTTACAAAAGAATTTAATTTCAGTTTACTTGATAAAAATCTGTAATACATATGCATCCATTCCAATCATAGAGACACTTCACCGTGTGTGTTCGTCCCTGAAGATGCTAGAGACTACTGTCTGAAAGGACCATCACACCTTATCAACATATTTTTTTTCTCTTTTTCCCTGATTGGAGTTTGTAGTTAACTCTTTCACTGAGGGCGTTTCCAACAATTAGTCGTAAATGGCCCAGGTTTTGGGGGGTGTTTTCACCCTTCTGTAAAATATGAAGTAAAACAATTTTACTCAACAAATCCTTATTTTCGTCCCTCCTATATAATCCCCTATGATATAAAAGTCAAAAATGGTAGATGTTGAAACAGACTCCTGCAAGTATCTGCAAGTATCTCTCCGGGTGCCTCCCCTTTTAGTAAACTCTTACAAACTTTGCAATTCCTTTAAAAAATTCCATTTTGTTTCATTTCATTTCTGTTTCCAGTTCCGGTTGTATGTATAATATGACCTGGATCGTTTCGACCCAAATAACTCACGATATAAGCTTGGGGAACAAGGTTGTACATGTATGATCTTGGCAATTTACTGCTAATAAATTTAGAACGTAAATGTACGATCTTGGCAGTGAAAGAGTTTAGGTGTGGGGGTATTTATACTTACATTGTTATCTATGTATATTTAATTTACAATGCATACTATTTATATATGTATGTCTGTTTTTGGCTACATCAAAGATGTTGATTCACCTGTAATAAATAAAGTTCAAAATTCAATAAATGATGTGAAATTTTTATTAACAGAGATTTAGCTAGTAGAACATGTTTAGTAGCAGGAGATCAGACTATAAAGATAGGTGATTATGGTACAAGTGAAGAACGATATAAGGTGCGTACTCTAATTAAAAGTTATTTTTTATGGCATTGACTAACTAATCTGGAGGTTCTAAGATTAATAGATTTGTTGGCCGAGAATGTTTCAAAGGATTCTCCAGCCTGGTTCCCCACTGTCAGCGGTGCAGGACGAAAGGCCTGGCAAGTTTAAGCTTCTAGTCTTTCAGATGGTTAAAAAACGAGGTCTCTTGTTATACCATTGTCAACGCATTAAAGATCCTTTGACATATAGAGTAGGACAATGTCTGGGCAAAATTTGCCTCATAATAAACGGCATGGCATATACCTGTCTTCATTGGCCAGGTTGGTTAAACGATAAACTCCATTTCATTAGTAAAACAAATTTTTACTTCATATCTCTCACAGTTAAGAATATAGAACAGTTTTTAGTTTAACTTTATAAAATTCCTACAACCGTCACGTATAACTGATGTAGATAACTTTTGTTTGTGTGTTTTTAGTCTGATTATTATAACAATGGTCAAGAACTTTTACCGATACGATGGATGGCACCAGAATCATTAGAGCTACAAGATGTCAACTGGCAAATTACAGAAATCACAAAAGAGTGCAACATTTGGTAAATATATGTTCCAGTCAACCTGCCAAATATTTGGCCAAATGACAAAGTCAGGCATATGGTCAAGTGGTTAACTCAGTGTAGTAAAAATAGAATTTCCTGGATTATGTGTGAATACTCTTTCACATTATCTAAACTTGTTGTTTATTATTAATGAAAAGGAGAAATCGACATAGATGTCAGTGTACATCAGGAAATTTCAACTTTGATAAGCTATGGTTTCATTTAATAATTAAACACAGTTTAGTTGTCTTTACCTTTTCTATTGAACATATGCTGGTTTAATGAAGGAAAGCCTATTATTAAAAGCTTTAGAGATTCAGAAAATGAACAATTGAGCTGATTATAATGTGCATATATTTTTCCAGGTCGTATGGTGTGTTATTATGGGAAATAATGGCGTATGGTGAGATGCCGTATACAGCTTTACCTAATGAACAGGTATTAGATGGCGTCATCAAACAAAAACTGATAAAACTGCTATCTCCAGTCTCAACTTTACCATATCGAGATAGAATGTACGTATTTTATACATGATCTCTTTATTTTTGTTTATTGATGGACAGGGCTGTCAAGAGCTGCCTTGGAGTCCACACTACATGGAATCTAATAAAAATAATTTATGGAATTGATTTTATTTTTCGTTTTTTTTTGCGTTATTTTATTTATTATATTAATTCTTTTGTATGGGCCAATGCCACATACCCCCACCCTGACGGACATGCTGACACTCACTGTCCATCTAAAATACAGACATTAAAACATGTCAGAGAAAATGACAGAAGTCCTTTCTCTGTGACAAGTGGTATCAGGTGTTCAAGAAATTGCTATCATACAACTTGAATCTATGAGTCCCATTAATGGTTAGAGTTAATTATTTATTCCAGTAATATTCATTAAATTACAAAAATATGTAGTAAACATTCACCAGAATGAAAGTTAAATTTAAAGAGCCAAGAAGAATATTTAGTTTTTTTTTTTTTTACCGATCCCAGGTTAGAATCTTGCCTCGAAGAACAAATTCTCCTCCATCCAAATTTACACATATATAACAAAATGACCTATGTACAGAAGATACAGTTTATTAAATTTCACTTTGATCATGATTTGAGGGATTTTTGATCCCTTGCAATCCTGTGGAAGTTGAATCAGTAACAGGAATATCAGTCTAAGAATGGTTTAATTCCATTCATTATTTATGTACCTTTGATTTTTTATTTTCTTAATTCAATGTTAAAGACTCAATTTGAATCCATTTTAATGTGGATTAAACTATGAAAAATTAGATATTGCCCCAAAAGTACAAATTCCCTCATTCCTAGTTAGTGATAAATGATTTATATTTAACCAATCACTGACGAAGACCTTGATAATGATGCTACTGGAACTGGTGAATTTTCAAAGACCTAACATTTTTCATGTATTTTTCTAGGTTTGAAGTTATGCAGTTTTGTTGGTTAAAGCCAGAACAGAGACCAACTATAGAAGAAGTGCACGGTTTGTTACAAAAACTTTATGAACAGACGACGTCTACGCAATCTCAAGTTACAATTGATGAATTTGAACAGAAATGGGACACATTAATTCCAAAAGAGATCCATGTCCAAAGACCAGATAATATTGCAGCAGTACCTTCAGTCCCAAAAGAATTTGAGTCAAATTTCTTAGCTTCATCTGAAAATGTAAACGATACTACAACAGGATTAGCAATCAATAATGCTGACAAATTATCAAACAATGGGGATTTTGATTTGTCACTGCCAAGTGATGGATTTATGAAACCAGATTCAATGGCTACGCCATGTAAGCCAATCAGACAACACCTGACAAGTACTCCCATGACTAAAGATAACTTCAGGGTTGAGAAACCCAATGCCGATCTACAACTTCAAACAAAACCAGAAACTGATTTTGAAACTATGTTCAAAGATGAAGGCATTTCTCCAATGAATGATTCTGCTGTGGAAGAAGATGCATTTGAGAGTCCACAAAAGGCAGATGGGAAACCCAAAACTACCACAATAGAAGAAGATAGACAGGCGGATGCATTAGTGACGTCTGCAGAAACAGTGACATCTGGAGTAGTGACTGGTGACTTTTCTCTTAGCGGCAAACATTTCGAACAAATGACCCAGTCAGCTTCATTGTCGACAATACCCAGTCAAAAATCTGATGAAATCCATTTTGAAACCAAAGAAAAGAACTCCACACAAAAACCAGACATAGATTCCTTTGACCACATTGATGCTGTTATAGTGCCTACAGAGAATGAAACTTCTGAAACTAACTTTTCTCAGACTGAAAATAGAGATCATTCATTGCCAGAAACAACTACAACAAACAGTGGAAATACTGAAACAGTTGAGATTATACCAGACATTGAGAGTCCGTCAAAATCTGTCTTTCCAAATGACAATGAAACACAATTTAGCGATCCCATGGCAGACTTTGTAAATATTTCCAATAACAATAATTTAATGGTAGCACCACAAAATCCTCCCAATACTGTAATTATCAATTCAGCATTGGCAGCAGATATTGATGAATTTATGAATGCATCATTTGATAGTCCTATGAATGTCTCGGATGATAAGTCAGCCGATAACTTAACCGACTTTTCAGATTTGGATGCAATATTTAATGGTAAAACAAGCAGTGATTTATCGAGTTCTAATGAAGCTTTAGAGGAATCAAACCAAATTGTAGACCAAAAATCTGACATATCCAAAACCACATCAGTTGATGATGCAACTGAACAGGTAGGTAATTTTGTGAATAACAAGCGTAATGTTTTTCCAAACTTGAATGAAAAACAAAGACTTGAATTGTGTGAAATTAATAGTAGTACGCCTGTGAACAATTTTAATAGATATTCTAGAGCCAAGGAATATTTTAACAAAGAACAGAGTGATATTAGTCTTGTGAATGGTGCATGTAGTCCAGTTGTGAATGGATCCGAGGAAGAAAGTAGTACTCAGTCGGACGATACCGATGAAAGCACAACGTCGAGCGGTAGTTCGTATATATGTGACTATAATGTAACTAATGTGGATTCTAATGAATCGAAGGGAGTGTCGTCCGATACAAAGACAGTAGTTAAAACGGAAGATACAGACAGTGAAAGTGAAAGTAATACTGATACAGACGATGATGGAAGTGTGGTATTCAGTATGAATGAAGATGAAATTAGAATCGCTGAAGAACTCTACCTCTCAAAGGGAGTTAACTCTCCTTCGGTTTATGAAAAAACTCCATTAGAAACCATTCCAGAAGATGATTTACCCACACCAAAAGAGTTGGAATCATTTGATATCAAGTTTGAAGGACAATTTGATGAAGTTTTTACTTCTCAGGACAATTTTGAATGGGATGATTTTATGGGTGAATCTTTAGTTGGTCGACCGCGTAGTTCTGATATTTCCCCAAAACGAGCTTTGGACTTCTCTGATTGGATGGTTGAAGATGATATAAGTTTAAGAAGTAATAGTAGTGCTTTGTCCAATTCCAAAAATACTAACGGTGTACGTGGTAGTGCTGGTTCACTCGACAGTCCAAGTGTGCGTTCTTCCATTTCTGAATCAGAGGTAAAACGATCCCAACCTCGCACTAAACCCCGCTCCTATATATCTGAACTCATAACTAATCGTAGCTTCGGGTCTTTAACCTCTAACTATAGAAATCATGCTAGTAGTTTCTATTCTTTATATGATAATATGGATGAGGACGATTCAACAAGTGATGAACAGTATCTTACAGACTTAAATCTTTCTAACCATTCCCATAATATACAACTCGGAAATTCATATATTGGACATATGCATGACATAAAGAGTAAAAGTAACCTCCCAGCTGCTAATGGAACTAATAAGGTACGATCTTTGTAAATGATCGGGTTTATTGTAAACATATTGGCATGCTGTTTGTTTTGGATTTGGTTTGATTCGGATTTTGTTTTGGAATGTTTTTATCGTGTGGTGTGTATTTGATGTTATACATGTATTAATTTATTATTATAATAACAGGGTTTGGGTGTTTATTCTGCATATTAACACACTAACACATCCCCTAACAGAGGTCATTGTTGTATATTATTATACTTTAGGAACCTGTGTAACAAATTAGTAGACAAGGGGGAACGGCAACGCTCCCTTAAAAAGAGAAGCACATACTGGACAAGCCAGTAGGTCTTTGTAGATCAAAAACTGATGCAGGCATAGAAAGTAGACAGGAATAGATTTTTGAATTGTTTCAATAAGTAGATTCTTACAGAAATAGGGCCTATATGTTATTATATTTATTTCCACTTAACACAGTGTCTGCCCGAAAAAATCTGATTGTCCGAAAGTTATGCCTATGTGTACTTGCAATGGTATACATAACTTTCTCTTTCTGGCAAACACCAGGATCAAACCCGTGAAATCGTAGTTAGTGAGTCAGTGCCATACTCACCGACCTATAACAGATTAAGTAATTTTAGACCAGGGATGCTGTTTTGCTCGTACATACTACATGTATCTAGATAAGCAAATGTCCAACTGGGTATATTGCCAATCCTATTCAAAATTCCAAAAAGATTTCATAAATATAGCATGTACTGAGTGTACATGTATAACTAGACCTGTGTGCTTCATATTTATGGATATTCATTCAAAAGCCCCTTTTATAACTGTAGTTCAAGGGAAATAAAATATTATACATGCTTTGACCTTTGTTCACTGCACACTTTCACTTTCATTATTAGATATAAAAAATTATTTGTTTATTGTAAATGCATGATTATAATTGGTTGTCATTATGTTTTGTGATTTTTAATTTATTTATATTTGTAAGTGGAGTATTTTTGTTGTAATAAGTTAGTGTTTGTAATAGTTTAGTGTTCTGATTCACCATAGGTTTAAAAGTCAGCTTTTATTTACTTTTTCATAATTTTAAACAGGTATTGGAAGGCTATAGGCTCATTTTTAGAAGAGGTACATTTTGTTGACATGAAAAGTATTTTGATATAAAAATGCATGCTAATTTTTTTTTTTTTTTTGAAAAATATTTTTCCTCTCATTCTATATAGAAACATAATTGTGTAAAAAAGAAAACCCTCTTTAATTTGTTTGATTAGACATTTAATGTAGAAATTCTAGATTTGATTTTAATTTAAGATTTCATTTTTAAAATTTGCAGATTTTAAAACAAACTGCTTTCATAAGACAGTTGCTTTTTTTTCCAGGTATTTGGGGCTACAATGACTACAGATCTAGATGAAGATTTGCCTGACTATGACATGTTAACAGACTCCAATGAATCACAAAGTAAAAACGAGGAGGACACGGTTGTTACAAGTCCTGCAGAAAATATGTTGCACTTAAACCGGTAGTTAAGATGAATATTGATTTTCTTTTATGACCTGAAGTGACAATAGTTACAATCTGATTTAAGTACAGATCTTAATTTTGTTTCTTTTTTTATGCTATCATAAGGCTTGCCATTGAGTCAAGTGCCGTGGTTTTGATCCCAAGCTGGTACATGACAAGCTTTGGGGTCACCTGCTTAATCTCATGGGTTTTACCCCGGAGTTTCCTCAACAGTTAAAGAAATCCTACACACAAGCAAATTATTGAAATAAAATTGTATCATATGTTAGTCCCAATATGACCTGGTTTGTATTGTGTGGATGTTAAACCCAATTTCTCTTTCTTTGTGTTATGAACTGGGCTTCATGTAGATCTGACTGACTTAGTGTGGGAGGACGTTAGGAGTCACATTAGAGAACTTTAACTGAATTACAGACTATTTATCTCCCCTCCTTTGTATTTTAAGCAAATCTAGACTTAACAGACTATATGGCTATTTCATTGGCTGCGAATGTAATTTATTTCAAAATTCTTCCTGATACGAATTAAACTATAAAAACTGAAACAAAACAAGATGTGTGTTTTGATCAGATTGTTCTTATTATTATAAGACTGAATATTCCGTCTATTCAGGTTATCCTACTTCTTCAGCAGGTCACATACCTCAATAATAGTAGTACTACAACCGGTTTTGAAAATATATATATTGGAATATTTAAAACCTAGCCAACATGTTATTAAGATTCAGGTGTACATTTAGTTTGAGTTTTGTGAATTATTCCTGATTTTTATGAGATATTTGGTCAAATGCTCAAATTAACCTTCACCTTATTTAGAGTCATATTTTATTCAAATTTTAATAAAAGTAAACAAATTTAGTATCAAAGTGAAATAAAATTATGTTAAAAACGATTTACAGATTCCTTATATTGTAACTCTAGAATATGAAATGTTTCGAACAATCCAGACTAGTAGTAGTACCCAATGATGCCGGTATACCATAAATAATTGAAATTATGATATATAAACGAAATGTGAGTTGAGCATTTGGTCCATTGTCTTACATTTTTGATTAATCTCAGTATTTTATAAACCATGTATTTTTTTTTCACAAGTAAATAATTCAGTTTTATAGATAGATAGGTGTATATATATATCTATGTATGCAGTTTTTATTTATTAATTTTTGCAGGATATTAATTATTTGAAAGCTCAATCAATAAATTAGACAATAGTTCAATTAATTCAGTAAGGTCAAGGCATTATAGCTTTATGAAAAGGTATACAAGATGGCTACCAAGTTGGTTCACTGTGTAACATGATTAATGTTTGGAGCATTTGAATATTAGCAATAATAGTTGTAATATAATAATTATGTTATGTAGGTGCTTTGTATATTTAGTTCATTTATTTTTTTATATGCTTGGTGGACGGTAGATATTTATTTTTCTATGAAGAAATAAATTATGCTATATTGTGTTCAGTGAGGAAATTAGGACATGGTATGCTCAAATATTATGTTTCAAGATAATGCCTGGTTCTACAACTGGATATAACATGCTAAAATAATGCCTGGTACAATAACTGGCTATGGTAGATAATGCCTTGTTCTATAATTAACTATGTTGAGATAATGCCGAGTTCAAAAACTGGCTATAGTGAGATAATGCCCAGTTCAATAATTGGCTATGGTGAGATAATACCCGGTTCAGTAACTGGCTATGGTGAGATAATACCCAGTTCAATAATTGGCTATGGTGAGATATTGCCCGGTTCAATAACTGGCTATGGTGAAATAATGCCTGGTTCAATTACTGGCTAGTTCAATAATTGGCCATTGTGAAATAATGCTCAGTTCAATAATTGGCTATGGTGAGATAATGGCCGGTTCAATAATTGACTATGGTGAGATATTGCCCGGTTCACTTACTGGCTATGGTGAAATAATGCCAGGTTCAGTTACTGGCTATGACGAGATAACACCCAGTTCACTAACCAGATATGACATGGTGACATGTTTGGTTTAATAACTTGCTATTATTATACTGTACCATACTACCATGTATACTTCAACATTTTAAATCTGAGCATGCCAAATATGAATAGAATAGAATAGTGCAATTGATCTTTAGATTATTTAATTTGGTGCCGATATTTATTTTAAGTTCTACACTGTAACCCAGGTATCATTTAATCTTGTGTATCAAGCACTAATTTCTTTTACATTCATCTAATTTCAAATATTTGTTTAAAAATTTGTAAAAATCATTTAAAATCACCCAAAATCATCTAATTTGTACTTGTGTCCAGTTAAAAGCTGTCTGAGTGATAGAGAAATTAAACACTTGTAAATTGGACACTCATGATTAAAATTGAACGGTCAGCTTTAAACTGGACACAAGTACAAATTAGATGATTTTGGGTGATTTTAAACGATTTTTAAACAAAGATTTGATATTAAACTCATGTGAAAGAAATTAGTGCTAAATACACAAGATGAAATAATATATGGGTTACAGTGCTATGAAGCTTATGATAACCTAGTCATTTAATTTCCGTGTTATTTACAGTTCAGCACTCTTGGTTTTCTACCATAGCACTTGTTTATTGTATCTGTAAAATACATTTCAAATTCATCATATTATTAACAACACTTCTAACAAAATGGCACATTTACATGAAAAAAAAGAGTTATGATGTTCTTTAATCATTATGACAAATGGAGCCATTTCATTTGCATTCCCAAAAATGATTACAAATAAAAGATATCTTGTTAAAGAAGACATAAAGTATAGTCTGTGAACTGATGTTCTTTAATAAGTTCACGCATATCCTTTTCATGCCCTAGAATCATAACAAATACAGAATATCTGGCTAATGAAGACATTATTTATACTAGAGATGCCCTATCTGTGGATACATTGTTCTTAAGTTCAGGCATTTCCTTTTCAATCATAAAAAAAAAAAATATTTTATGATACAGATCTGCAGTGAGTGAACCAAATCAATTAGACCAATGTGATTGTTTTATATCTGTGATCAGAAACAAGGTCTAAATTTGTGTCACAATTTTCAAATAATTTGTAGTAGACACATACCCAGCTTTTATTTATTATAATGTATATTACTAGTTATCTTAATAGAAATTTCTCAAAATATGCAGAATTTTAATTTGGTTTTCATACTACCCATACAAGCAATTTTATTAACTTATATTTTCATTTATGAGAAGAGATTATTATGTAAATAATGATGAATATTAGGAAAATAATAAATATGCTTGTCTTCCAGGGATTATATTTATCAAATGTCTTATATAAGCTTGTTAAAATTCTTATCTATTAGAACTGATAAATGTACTGTTATAAGATGATGATCTTTTAGTTAGTTTATAAAAACGAATTCAGAACATTGGTCTCTTTTCTCAAACATTGATTAAGGCTAAACCAGGGCTTTCTTTAAAGACATATTTGCCAGTCTTGACAGACGTGCGATATAGAGAACTTACCTACCATAGAATTTGAAAGAATTTAACATTATAATGCAATAAATACTGTTAAATTTATAGTTAGTTGTACTATAAAACCACTCAAAAATATATTAAAAATTGAAATAATCCTAAAAATGGGTCATATTCTTGCTGCTCCGGGGTAAAACAAAATAGGCAAAAAATTGACTAGCTGGCAAAATTCGGAAGTCAAAGCCCTCATATTCAGCCCTGGATGTTAAAAGCACTTACCAGTATATCCAATCTGAGAATTTTCTTAACAGATGAGAATTTTTAAAGACTAAAGACGTCTGATAAATATGGTACCAATATAGCTTAATCGCATAATATAAACAATTTACCCGCTTGTATCTGTAAACATCTGTCTGCTATTGGTTAAATATAAAGTACAGAAATGAATATTTTGCTGGTTCCGGTAATATTGATATATAAATAAATCCATGTATAATGTTTTTATATTTTAAGAAACTGTACAGGTTTTCTCTTATTTAATCATAATATATCTCTATTACCTCATTATAATCCATTAATTGTGTCATTGAATTTGTAACCATTGCTCATTTTTTAGTGTCCAATATATACATCGATAACTGGATTACCCTAGTTAGCAATTTATGAACACCAATATTTTCAGTATGAATAACTAGAAGTTGCAATTTACGAACACAGATATTTCATTATAAATAACTAGAAGATGAACAAAGTTCACATTTTATGAATTGCCCATGAGTCCTGTAATTTCATTGGTTGTAGAAAAATTGCAATATCTATTGCACCCTAAAGTTTAACCTGTCCGATTTTTGAAAATGTTCTTATGTGATTTTTGAAAATGTTCCTACCGTACCTATTTTATTTTTGAAACAATGATACCTTTACGAGTATACCTATTAATCAACTCCCATCAATTCACATTTTATGACATGACCTATGTCCAAGTTGTGCGATTTCCTTGGTTGTAGATAAATTGCAACGTCTTTTGCATGATGGCCAGAAAGTTTAATCTGTCCGGTGTGATTTTTGAAACAATGATATCTGTATGAGTAAGCCTATTAATCAACTCCCATCAATTCATTGTGAGTTGTGATATAAATTAAAGAATAACAGTGATTTAATTGATGATGATAATAATACATATCACATGGACATTATTTAAATCTATTTAATATATTATACTTGTATTTAAGATGATGGTTGTTATAACATTCTACTGTTTTTGTCTTGTTTCATACATATATTATAGTACTTACTAATATATATATATATATATATATATATATATATATATATACTTCTGATTTACAACTGATGTAATATTCATCAAGTGCCAATAAATTGTTAGAAATTATTTTCCGTCTTCAGATTTCTGGAACATTTTGAGAATACTCTGTCAGAGGAATCTGCCTATATCATTTTTATATGCCTCCGTCCATCGCCCACAATTTCTTGTGAACACTCTACATTTATTATCGGATCATTTTGAAATTTATATATGTTGTTTACATTAGTAAGACGAAGATTCCTATTTAATTGATAACAGTGTCTTGTAAATGCTGCTATTACGTACAAAAGAATAAATATGTGACAACCCTTGTCGACTGCTCGGACGGTTTAGCTGTTGTGGGCGTATGTTTCGTTGCCTGACAACCTATCTTATTTACTACCAGCATTGTGCCCTGCATTGCATGGGTAGAGCTCTTGGACACTTCCCTAATGCTAAAACAAAATAGTTGGTTAATGGATATTCTTGTTGAACTGTTGGTCTAAATATATAAAATAGTATGACTGTTCTCTCAATTTTCAAGGTATCAGTTACGGATATATCACAAGACAAAACGGCTGAGTAAAAAAACTATATTTGGTATAATTAAAAAATCATTGTCAATGGATTTAACAAATAATGCCTTTAAAAATACATGCTAAAAATAATTAACAAGTTCAGTATGATAGTATAAAATCTCACAGTAGGCTTGTATCTTGGTTATAAATACATACAACAGCCATTAGCTGTTAAATAATTGTGGGTTTTTCCCTTTGCATACCAAATATATCTTTTGGTTCCTTCTCTCCAAAGCCCATTCGTTGATTATATATATAAAAGAGGCATAAAACTGAATATTAAATATGGCAAAGTGTAGTTTACACATTATACCAGCAGATTTAACACTGCAATTTATAAACAAGCATATTCTCTGCATAAAATTGCATGAACTTGACCTATAAATACAGGGCAAGATACATTATGTTATGCCCAATTTAAATACAGGGCAAGATACATTATGTTATGCCCAATTCCATAGACATTTCATTTCTGGCAAGTACTAGCTTTAATGGTTTTAGTCATGATTACTCAAATCTTGGGAGATAAATTATATTTCCACTATTGTCGTATGTCATGTTGTATCAGTAGGCCTACTGGAAATAGTAGTTTTAGTTAAACAAAAATCACAAAATGTCGGGCATTACTGGATTAGTACCTGCCGGACAATATGAACTTTGTGTCAGACATTTATAGCGTATCAATCAAATAGGCATTATTCAAGAACTAAATCTGCCTATTGCAGGTCTTTCTTTTGGCCTTAAATGTTATATAAACTATTAACTAGACATCTATTAACAGTTCACACGTCTTGTCAAACCTTCAAAACTCAGAATAAAGTAATTTTAATGAAATTTTCAATATATTCATTTTGCATTATCTATTTTTGAACTATTATAGCAAGAGCGACCAGCTCTTTATCCATATTTACATAATGTATCTTAAAACTAAAAAAAATACAAATCAGTGCCAGACAAAATAACAGGCACCAAAGCTCATGTTTGACCCTGACATTACTGACAATGTCTGTGACAGATGCCTTATTTCCAGGCTTGCTTATTAGAAATATTTCATTGTCTTATAATTTATATTTTTTAAAAATTGTAAGTCCAAGCACTAACAAACTGCCAAGACCAATAGAAATTCTTAACCAATTTCTGTTATTTTTAGAAACTTTAGTTGGAATAGGCCTTACAATCCCAGATGTTTCAAGATCTTCATTTGTCACAAGACTGGGTTCTATTTTCTGTAATATTTCTGTTGCTGCTCTAAGTCCAGCCTGAACAGCTCCACTCATATAACCACACCACTTAGTAGCAGACTCAGTTCCAGCAAAATGAATTCTACCAAAAATACACAATATGGATGATGAAAAACAATAAAATTGGGATCTAGCACAACCTATAACTAATTAAGCAATAGTAAATAACGAGACCAAATCAATTAAAGTTTTAGCTCTTGTGTCTCGTAAACTATCTCTTGTTCAAAAGATTTAAGAGGAGCTACACATCATTTTTTAAATAAATTATCTTACTTATATAAAGTACCATTAAACAGAATATATCAAATATTAATTGGTTAGTAAAATTTGGAAATGACAACCCTGAGTTAAAGGTATATGTATATTTACCTGTGGAAAGGTTTCCGGATTCCATCTACAAAATATTTCATGACTCCAGGTGTAAGACAACAGACAGGTGCACCAACAATATATGGTTCCTGATTCCAGTCTTGTTCTGTATAATCTATATAATCAAACACTGGACCACCCCAAAATACTGATAGTTGATTTAATACTGCTTTCTGTCTTACTTCAGCCTGCATGTAATAAAACAATACATGAGTTGATTTCTTACAGATGAGTCGACTACTCATAATACTAAACATAAGCATCTTATACGCCCACCAGTGTCAAAATTAATTTAAAATCATTCTCAACAAACCCCACCATGCAAGTTTTAAAAATCTATTACAACCTATGGCCCAAGCCATAGTCAACTCACTATTATACGATCATATTCATTGGTGTTATTCTCACACTTAAAACTCATTTACACCGGAAATAATAACACAATTACCTCCCTTGTTTTCTATTCTCCACAATGGAGTAGCTATCCTCAAACTTTGAATTTGATGAGGAAAATTATATTTTTGCCAATTTCTCAACTGGCAATAGTGAATTATAGGATTAATAGGATTATTCTTTAACAAGGTAGGACTGTTTATAGATACCATCTATTTTAAGGCTTTATTTTAATAAATTTTAAAATTATAACGTAAAAATATGAAATTGCAACTTTAATGATAAAGAAAAAACATGACTAAAAGGTACTTGAAATTTACTGAAACCCTAATGAACAATCTCATCAAGTGGCAAGTGTTTTAAAAAAATTCCAAGGGACCAAGCTGGCTAAGTTAGTATACCTCTGGCTCACTAACCAGGAGTTCCCCATGTTCGATCCCGGTGTTGACTGAGAAAGTTTTCCAGCTTGGTGAAAAATTCCACTGAGACCTTTGTCCTGTATCATGAAACTAAACAGGGGGATAACTCCGATATATAAGATCACAATATTCTGAATTTCGATAAGATCCCTTCTTATAAGCCTATCAACAATTATACCCATGAATATAAAATGGTGATATGAAGGCAAAGTATTTTAAAGACGTAAGAAATGAAACTGAATAAACTTACTGTTTTATGTGAATATTGCACAAGTTGGTCACCAGATATAAAAGCTACTAATGCTGGGTTACCATTGTGTGTTGTAGCATCAAATACTATACATAACGGTCCAGTATCACATCCTGATACATTACTTTTACCCCCATTACTAACTATTTCACCAGAGTATCCCCGCACTTTCCAAAATGGCTAAAGAAAATAAGCACAATCATAATCATAAAATACCTAAACCTCATGTGCGCATGGGGCCTTGGTAGTCGAGTGTTATGGCACTGGACTCTCAACTAGAATATCCTGGGATCGAATCTCATCAGACCGAGAAGAATCCTGGGTTTGAATCTCATCACAATCCGAAACGAATCAAAGCAATTTTCTAGCCCTCTTCCCACTTGCCTGTGTACTTGTAGGTGTCTGCATAAAATAAGCTATCCAGGAAAAACTCCTCCCTGGTATCGTGCAATCGACCATAGAAAAAAATAACTGTACTTTGGTCGCAAAATAACCCGGGAATTATGTTGACGAGGCGTAAACTTCATTCCTTTCACATTCTTATTATGATTTCCAAATTGTTCTTGTATAAAAGCAACTTACATTTAAATTACGATTCAGCTAGGAAAAAAAATTAATTGAAAGGGAGATTTTTGCGATGGGGACCATTTCACGAAACGCATGTAAAGTTACGCACTAGTAATTTCAATAGATTGTAATTGTGAAACAATTCTACAGTCATTTTGGACTGCTGAAAGCAAAATGATGTCATTATTGGTGTATATTACTCAATAGATCACACATTGTATATGTATATATTATTTACCTCAGGGTATGTTATGATAACTTTTGACATATTTCCTTTAGGCATTCTTCTCATGACCTCTACTTTAGCCATGGGCAATATTGGTTCAAATTCAATAGGAACTATAATAAACAGATGAAAGAGTAATTATTATAGACTTGACAAAGCTCTCGGAAAACCACTGGGGTTGTTCTGAGAGTAAGACTTGCAAAATAACAATACAATGAAAAATATAGCTACTTATAACAATATGTCTTTTAAGAGCTTAGGCTTTATCAATAATGATCAACCATTTATGATTTATAGTTCTGTGGTTGCTGAGAATATATCTTGTGTTATAATCTATAGAATTGACTTACTTAATGCTGGAGGAGGTAGTGCCATAATAATATGATTACTGATATACTCATCACCACTCTGTGTAGTAATTTTTATCATATCAGAATTAATATCCTGAAAAAAATGTAGTAAAATCAATACTCAATACTAGACAAAATGAAATGGCATGAAATGGAGTTTAGCATCCCACTTTGTTCCACCAACCAGTCTAATGAAGATGTGCATATTCCATACAGGACCCTTGACAGCTGTTTTGGGAAAATACCCCTTATAAGGCATATGTTAAACTCCATTTCATTTCTCATCAGAGCTGGCGTAGGGCCTAGCAAGGGACAGCATCTAGTCGTTTGGATGGCACGAAAAACTGCCTAAGCTCAATGAGCCAATTTTCCCCCTTTCTGAATGATACTGTTGATTGTTTTCCTGTATTCAGGTTATACATTTGTCAGAAATTTTGAAAATTTCGTCACCAGGCCCCTCGTACTGATAAATCCTGGCACCACCAATGTTAATATTATAATTATTCCCATCATTTGACCTACCTGTATAATTTTTGTAACCGGTTGTTTAAATTTAATGTTGTCATGACCAATACAATCTGCTAATCTTAATGAAACTTGTTGAGCACCACCCTATGTAATAAAATCATAACAAAACCACTTGACAACTCTTATTTATATTGTAGGAAGCAATACCATAAAGAAATACCATTTGATCAAAAAAATCAATTCAAATTAACAGGTTCCATACCATCTGGGTGGTGATAAGGCCATATCATTTGAAGGCTCTATCATATTGTTTGCTATAAAGAATGTGTCAGCACATTTCTCAAAGATGTAATAGTGATTCCAGTTTGTTTCACTGGCTTACCTTCCCACCCCCATTATCCTGCCACATCCAACATACTGTCCTGACTGACAAACGAAGCATTTTCTTTTTTAATGTCGTAGACCAAAAGAGCCAGCTCCTTAAAAGTGACATCAGGGGGCAGACCCCTGCCCTAGCTATGCTACAGAATGATGGCCTATATATAAAATATACCGTTATAAAACAAGTATAGTCAGTTGACCACAACATTAGTATTATAGTGAAACCATAGATGACTTGAAAATAACAACTGGATAATAACCAACCCATGATCATGAAAATTTGATATTTTAATCAATAACCTTAATTTTATATTCCTGAGCAGCATATTCTGTGGCTTCCGTCAAATTTTTTAAGCCATCAGAGGCATCTAGGTACATAAGAAAAAACAATAAGGACATATGTGATGGTTCCATTCCTAAAACTCCTCTTGAAGCAGCATAAAATGTATCAATAGCACCTATTTATAAACAAAATATATTCATTAATAACTGTTCTAATAAAATTACGAAAATTCCAAATAATCAAACAATGGCCACAAGCCACAAATGGAATGATAAACGAGCATTTCCTAATAACAGAAGCAAGCCATTCTTCTTATCTGCAATATCACTGATTTTGGAAGTAGACATTAAACACTCCCAGTGAAGGCAAACATTAATAACTATGTTGTGAACAAACTTAAGGACAGTGGAGAGAAAAATAAAATGAAATGGGGTTTAATGTCCTATATATCTGTACCAACTGGGCTAATGAAGACAGGCATACGCCATGCATTGTGAGGGAAATTTTGCATGGAAAGCTGCAGTGAGACAAAAGGTCTGCATTCAAATCTTCTTTACATAATTTCATGAAATGGCCACAGAGGGTTGGTAATATACTTGGAGAATTGTCCAGGGAAAATACTTAAGCACAATGGTGATGGATGTTATCAATAATTTGAATAAAATATTTGGCGATACAAATAAAATATGCTTGTTCTCAAAATTCTTCAAAAAAATATCTCATCTCATCAAAAGACAACAGCCTTAATTGATGAATTAAACCAATGTATTATGATACCTTTTGTCCATAAAGTTTGTCTGCAAAATGTATCCACAGTAATTGAATCCCAATAAACAGCATCTGGACATGACCATGGATTGTGACAACTGACTTTTTTTCTCATTCGTTCAATCTAAAATCAAACTAATAACAATTTCATTTATTGTCCTAAACTTGGAGCTATTTTGGTCCACCCTTGACAGTTGCAATTTGATGAAGAGTAGGCAAAAACATTTTTCCACTTTCGGACACTCTCTTCAGTCAATTTTCCATATTAGGGGAATTACTTTTAAAGTGGCTCTGATATAAAACACTGAAATTCATTTTCCGAAAATATCAACAATGTTGTACTGAATTTATTTGCCTATTTTTTTCTCACTTACCCCCTATATCTCTGCGAACTTCTTGGACTTCACATACCCCGACCCCGAAGATTGGGAAACACTGCACTAAAATAGCACTGTTTAGCCATTTCATGCATAAATTAAATAATGAAATTGTTTATCTAACTTTTGTCCTTTTGCTGTTTTAATTATTTTAATACAAGTTACAACATTCGTATTTTTGAACAAATAAATGAAAATATTAAATACCTTCCATATATAATTTTGTAAATCTAACAATGCTAAGACTGATAAAGATGGAATGTCAGATTTATATGATCTTGGTTTGAAGTCTCCCAGCTGCATAAATTTGGTGCCATCAGTATATTGCTGATATGTATCAAGACCCAATTCCTTTAGTAAATTCATTATGTGGGGTTGTGATCTGAAAAAGTAATAAATCTTATAATTCCATTCATGATAATCTAGATATAATGAAGGTTGATATACATGTATATAGTATATCGTCGGTGAAGTGTCAAAAGGGTGTATATCTCGGGAAATAGTCAAGTACACTTTTTTGCATTTTTAAAATCTCCCAATTAATATGCACATTTCTGTCTAAGCTGTGTATCTCTACACCAATTAGAACTGTTCTGGGTATCATATGTCCAAATGTTGTATCTTGATGTGTGGAAATTTTGAAATGCAAAAAGATTCTATTTCTTAATCTTTAGAAATTCTTAGATACACCCTTTTGACACTTCACCGACGATATGCATGTGATGTTGCAACACTAGTATATGAAATGTTGAAAAATAGACATAAAATATTATTATTTGTTATGCCATTAGGCCCAAATATAATTTTATATACTTTTCAATATTTATGTAAATTTTGCTCCTTGTTATCATATTTGTATTGCTCCCTTTACCATACTCATGTATTGGTATTTACCTTGAACTAGTCTAACAAAGCATTATTATAAAGTGAAACTGAATTTATTATAGATTATTTTTAATAATCTCACTTCCTACATTAAAGGAAACCGCTCTGATCTTAGGTCAACATAAATCATTTAATTCATTTAATTTGATGTGTTATTTCAATTAGTGACAATTTCTATACCAGTACCATTTAATTTTTGTTTTAAAGGGACAATAACACTCTGGCTGGCTTGACAGCTCCAGAAAATAAAAAATAGCCTTATTCTAAGTACTAGATGTGTTAGTGTCTTACCTGTTGTGTAAATTATCCATTAAATCATATTTTACTTGTCCAGAGGGTTCAAAAATATTTTTAAATCCAAGTCACATTTGAAAAGCTTTACGTCAGGCTTTTCAAATCATTTAGTTGAATTTTTCCAATTTTTTAAATTTGGTCTGTTAAGATGAAATTTATATCACCAATTAATTGGAATATTTTAAAATAGTACAATTTGTTGACCAGAATAAAGATTGGGACATATTATTCAGTTACAACAAAAGTGGTATTGAGCCTTTAAAAGGAAGCATTAAGTGGAATTTAGTTTTAACATAAAATTTTGAACAAAGGCAGATATAGTCATCCCACAAAACGAAATAAAGTCACTGATCAACATATGAAGAATATCAGCCAAAAACAAAAAACTCATCAATTTAGCACCACAGTGTTGGTTTAAAAAAATTTTCATCCAATTGAAACCATGCAAGCCAGGTGATTATTTACCTTTTTTCCTTATTAAATTTTAAACAAAAAATTTATGTCCCGGTACATTTTACCATTGATTAAGACGTGAAAAATTAGATACTGTCCAAAAAAACCCCCAATGATGATCAGGAATTTATAGTTTATTTCTATATCACATCATGACTTATGTTGACTTATTTTTATTCTGTGATGCTGTATTTTCTGTTATTAATTCATTAAAAAAAGTTACAAAAAGTACCTGCCAACCCACTGACCTCCAATGTCCCAATAATCTGTTCCATTTGCAGTTTTTAAAGGCACAGTCAAAGTTCTACCTCCAACTCGATCTGTAATAAACAATACACTCCATCAAAGGCGCAACAAGTTTAAATGTGAAGATTATGGCTAATTTAAATTTATCTCTCTTAGAAATAGTACATATTATTTACTTTTGAAGTAGGTCTACATTATAAGTAATCAAGCTAGCTGTGCCTTTAATGAAATGAAATGAAATGGGATTTAATGTCCTACTGTTCTTCACTGACTGGGCTAATGAAGACAATGTGCGTTTAATAACCTTACATTTACTAAAATATAACCTAATATCTGATCGTCTTAAAAAAAAAGAACCCAGACCTTTTTGACATTGCGAGAGGGATAGAGAAATGGGGTTTAACATCCACTCGACACAAACTATGTCATTTTGGGACTAACATATGGTTCAATGGGAGGAAACTGGAGGACCTGGAGAAAACCCATGAGGTTGGACAGGCGACCCTACTCCTTTTCAAGTACACCCGGTGAATCGAAACCACGCCAGTTGACTAAAAAACAGACCTTATGATACAACACGCACGCGCTAACCATTTGGCCATCCAACCCCCCTTCACATTACGAAATTTTGAAGAAAGGAAAAAAATTTGGCCACATTTTTTTGAATTTGATTCGCTTGAGGATTTACTCAAGTATGTTTTAATAAACACTTTGACAATGCACAAGGAGCTTTATGTGCAATGTACATTTCACCACCAATGTGTCAATGGCTATTTAAAGGGAAAATACAAAGCAGGATAATGAATGATTATTGTTCTGAGATGCTCAAAAATTTCTAAGCATGAGTTTTAGACATACCCTTGGCTTCTAGAATGACCAAACGTATATTGGGATCTCTTTTCTGAAGATGATAAGCTGCTGTTAAACCAGATATACCAGCTCCAATAATAACCACATCATATCTAGACTTAACTGATTTATCCATTATTATACAACTTGTTATCTTTTATGTTCTGAAAAAAAAGAAAAACATTATAACACACTTATAAAGGGGGTTTATTTGCAAGCCAGAAAAAGAGTGACTACCAGTATACACAAAAAACAAAAGTGCTGGTAGCTAAAACCACACTTGTCATAAAATTAATCAAATTGATCTATATTCTAACAGCGATTTAAAGTTTACATTCATTTCTATGTATTTTACAAGATTTCCTTTACTGGTAGTTGTTTTTCAAGGAGTTTATTAGTTCAGGGGTAAGAAGGATTCTGCAACCATCATGGTATGCTTAAGGACCCCTAAAGAAGTGTTGTTTTAATGTAGTTTGGACCTTGGCCTTAATGTTTAGTCTTGTGATCTTCAGTTAAGTCAGGATCACAATTTTAAGATAGCTACATGCAGTGTTAGCTACATGTATGTGACAGAAAATCTTGATTTCTCTATATATTTATCTAGGCTACTAGGCCACTGATAAATCTGAGGCCTAGCTAAATCATGTGTGTACAATCAATATCATTTTATTGAATATATATATAAGCTCATAATTAAGTTCTTCATAACTCTTTAAAGAAGCTAAGTCTCTAACTCAATATCATCCAAAGTCTTACACATTGAAAACACGAATTATTTGTCAATTCAAATCAACATTGATGTTGTAATCTTACCGGGAAAAGGTAAGCTTCTGATATCCAATATTTAAGACAAAATAAACATTTTACCATTGGTACACGAATCGTGCATCATAGTGTGTTTCAGCGTCACTTGTAACAATTGACCAGAAAGAACGATGCTAGACATATTCAACAACTCATGTCAAATGGTGACACCATATCTTATCTGGAGAGCATGTGCAATAGACTGGAATAGCCAGACGCTAGAAATTGGCATTTGGTTGAGACATATTTCGCTGGACATAACTGATTAGAAATTGTATCAAAACGGAAACAATTGAATGTAAATCAGTTTATGTACAATCAAATTACATTATTATAATTATTATGCGTTGTGACCCATTTGGGTCAATTTCTAGGTCCCAAATATTAGCGATTTAGCTCCTTTAAATAGGCCTATCTAAAAATCTCAAGACAACCTGCCTAGGCTTCAGAGAAGAAAAAGAAATGTGCGACATCTATACCATTTTAAATTAAGCCGAGCTGACAAGCCAATCTACTTTCTTTAGTCACTTTTAAGGCTGCCACAGACAGGGTAGTTGTGGTAGGCCTATCGCTGGAGGTTTAACGTCTGCCGAGAGCAGAATACCCCTTTAAATTTAAATTGTAATGCGAAGTTGAAGTACCCCGATATATCGTATTATCGTCATGGGTGTGGATTTAGGGAGGGTCGGTGGGACGCGTCCCCCGCTTAGAATCGGAAGGCGGACAATAGGTCTCGGTCCCCCCCCCCCATGATTTTGATCGCCAGGACAGATTTTCAGGTTTATATCCACATGATTGTGAGCTTGTTTCTATGTATCTGGAACTGAATTGGGACTTGCAACAAGAATTGCCATTCTTCCAGCGCCAGTTTTCGGCCAAATCTATTTCACTTGTGCACGAAGCGTTCCTCATCATGTCACCTGAAGTGAGGCAGATGTACCCTTCTGTCGAAGCTCTTCTCATCTCACACTGCTGAACCCTGCTATAGTTCCTGCTCAGCCGAGCGATCCTTCAGCACTCTGTGCCATATCAAAACTTGGCTGTGCAACTCCATGACGCAAAACTGACGGAACCACTTGATGGCGTGTGTGGTGCATAATGACCCCCTTCATGTCGCCAAGATATTCAAAGAGAACAGTCCTGATCGTCTTTGGTTGATTCACTTAACTTCATAAACAATTAATATGTATGCAACTTTGGTGTAGGTAGTCATTTTTGTCATATTGTCATCATATTACCCCTAGTTACAGCCTTATCGAAATAACACTGGTACAGTAAACTGTTCGTAATTATTTATTTCATTTGGTAATGAAATCTTCCAGATTCCAGGGTTCGTCCGTTCCCCCCCCCCCCAAGGTAAAAGTTATGACAAATCCACGCCCTTGGTTATCGTAATAATGCTTGAATACGGTTAATAATAATAATAACTTTATTTTCAAAGGGTTGAAAATTAGGCCAGGAGGCCTGTCTTACATTTTGCCCTTTATAACAGAAGTTAAAGAAGTTAAAAATGAAATTTGAAAACAGAAGAGCAATATTTACAAAAGAATATTAACAAAATCACAATTGAAAATATTAATTACAATATAATAAAGTTGTCACACACGAATCATATAATTATCATCTAATACTATGCTTATGGTACATGTAAATAGAACAAATTAATTAATGGAAATGACCATAATATATTTCTTCCGACCACTCCCGATGTATGTAAGTATTACTACAAAGAAGACTATACTAGCTCTCTATGTAGTTACAAATTTAAATAATCGCCTTCGAAATGAATATATGATTTACAATATTTTAAACAGTCAGGTAATGAATTCCATAAATGGGCACCAGTAAATCGGACAAAAATTAAAAAAAATAATTTTGTCCAATTCGTCTAAAAAACCTTTTTCAAGTTTTTCTGCTGAACATTATATGGAGGGGGGAGGGGGGGGTGGGTGGTGGTATTGGTCCGGCCATGGAGCGATGATGATCAAGTTGTATGTGGCCGGTGGCTTTAACGGGCCGCCACCCCATCACTGGAGTCTAGAATGGGCTGGTATAATAGACTTTCTCGGCCGGGTGTGCTGGGTGGGGGCCGGAATTCGGAATCCTGCAATGGGGATTCCTTGCAGGTCATGGTTTTGGCCTAAATTAATCGATTTATGAGATATACTATTTGACAGAGATTATAATCAGATATGCCATTAAATCGCATATTTGGGGTTCATTTTTCAAAATTTTCCTCGGTCAGTAAAAGGGGCCGCTCCGACACGGAAGCCCGGGCCGGTTTCCGGCCCCAATCCGCCCCTGACCAGCCATGGAGCGATGATGATCAAGTTGTATGTGGCCGGTGGCTTTAACGGGCCGCCACCCCATCACTGGAGTCTGGAATGGGCTGGTATAATAGACTTACTCGGCCGGATGTGCTGGGTGGGGGCCGGAATTCGGAATCCTGCAATGGGGATTCCTTGCAGGTCGGGGTTTTGGCCTAAATTAATCGATTTATGAGATATACTATTTGACAGAGATTATAATCAGATATGCCACCAAATCGCATATTTGGGGGTCATTTTCAAAATTTTCCTCGGTCAGTAAAAGGTGCCGCTCCGACACGGGAGCCCGGGCCGGTTACCGGCCCCAATCCGCCCCTGAGACCGATATTGAAGTGGTAGTAGCTGCTTGTTTTTAGGTTATGACATTGTGTTCTATTAGATTACTTCGATTTTGTTGAAAAAGAATAATTCTCTAAAGATATTACCTTAAATTCTACATCAATAAATAATCATGATGGTAAATTTACAAACACTCATCAGTTTAGGAAATAAAACTTCACTTTCGCAAACACTTTAATGAGAGTTACTTCCCTTTAGCAGGTGTCCCCCTCGCTATGAACTATGGGATTCACTCTCTCCAACAACATGGCTGTAGTTTTAAGGAATATGAAGTCACTCAGCTGCATAGCAGCGGTGACACTTCGAACAACACTTCCAAGAGTCAGCGCCGCTGCATTATTTCACAATAGACATCGTACGGACAAATTAGCTGTAAAAACTAAGCCATCATCCTTTTTATCAAAGGTATATCATGGGTAGACACCCACGTGCCCTTGAAAAGTTTATCAAAAACAAATTCATCTCCTCATGTCATGTAGATCTAGTTCCAATTATTACATTATTGCATTCTACGGATTTTTTATATTATTTTATTACAAGCAGCCCACTAGTCGAGTCATTTGGAAATTTATATTGAGCTCATTATTGGAATTTGAAGAGAAAAAAAATTGTGTACCGGTAGAAAAATTGCCGGTGCCGGCGGTGGGCCTACATTAACATATTACAAAATAGACTCATCAAGATTATGCTTGATTTGAATGTATAGAAAATCAAAATATTAAAAAGTAGACTACCATCCAATTAGAATGATAAATATCTTAGAATCAAAGCCCTTTTCGTGGAAAGTGCCGCAAACGTTGTGAATTGTATTTGTAATCAATGTTGCAAAGTAGCCTTCTGTACCTCTATAGTTATATAGTTTTTCACATGCAAAACTGGTTTCCAAAATTGTGCAGCGCAGATAAATATTCCATCAAGAATTAAGACAGTAGTCTACTTTGCATATTAATGAGTTACTATTTGTAATTGATTATTTTTAGATTTTATTTCCATCAGTTTTGGCTGTTAGAAATTATGTGACAAAACCTTTAATTGAGGAAATACAAGATAGGGTGACTCAGGTCATCAAAATATATGATAAGATTAATGCTGAAAAGGTACTGAAACTATCAGATTGATTAAACTCAGATGAGGAAAAACAGGCTTATATATATTTAGAAATGGTAGTAGGCCTACCCTCCAAGCAACGAAGCAACCATTTTTCTGGGTGCAGTATCATGATTGCTATTATTAGAAATTACAAAAAAAAAATGACAAAAAAAAGAAAGAAGAAATAACCCCTACCCATATGTTAAATGTCAATAAAGTGAAATGTTTTCAGATAGCCTAAGCCTGTTTTAATCATCTGAGTGTGGATTTGCTTGATTGGAATTTTATTATAGCTCATTTCCTTTTCAGACCACATTATTGCAATCCTCAGTGAGAAAGTACAGTGAAAAACCTCCGCTCAATTTAGAATTGATTGAAAAAAGGGTTTTACTGGTTCTGAAACTTTATGATAAAATCAATGCAGAAAAGGTACTACACTTCATTTACAGTGACCTCAGTCATATTTTAACTTCTTTTAATGGTGACATTTTACAATTCATCATTGTTTTAGATCATGGGGTTGAGTAATTTCACAGGTCTTCTTTTGTTCTGGATTCTGCATATGATTTTGACATGGCAATTTTTTGTTGTCCATCTCGGAGATACAAGTCTGGAAATAAGGCATCTGTCACAGACATTGTCAGGCACAAATTCAGACTTTGCCAGGCGCAATTCCTCTGGTGTCTGTCACAGATTTGTCATTTTTTAATCATACTTTTAAATAATGCATTACTCCAAGATAAAAATATCAGGTACAATTTCAGGTAATTAACTTGACACAGATGTCAGTCATGCACACTAGTGATTGTAACAGTTATATTTTTGGCATATTATGGCGAGGTTGGAGCCAACATGCCATTTCTTTTTATAAAGTTTTAATTATTCCTTTAATTACATGTTATATTGTTTTTGTTTCAGTTAACTTTAGACAGTCATTTTATGAATGATTTGGGATTAGATAGTTTGGATCAAGTTGAAATAATTATGGCAATGGAAGATGAATTCGGTAAGTAGAAATATTTTCTTATCAGTCTGCATTTTGCCAGATTGATTAAAGAAGGGATATTGAAACGGGATCGGTCAGTCCATGCCTGCATCACTGTTTTGTTTCTGGAGAATATTTTGTAAACCATTCAAGGTGTGAAACTTTGTATGCACATCAACCTATTATAGTAATTTTGCTAATTAGAAACAATCTGACATAGTTTTTGGTATAGAATTGTGCATGAAAGTTGTTGACTGGATCATCAGGTGTCTAAATATGTAGGTATATATTCAATCATCATTCCTATTTTTGTTTCAGGTTTTGAAATTCCAGATGCAGACTCAGAAAGATTAATGCGACCTAAAGAAATAATACAGTATATCGCTGATAAAGAAGATATATTTGATTAAGACAAACATAACATAGATATTTTATAGTCAAGGTATGTGTTATTATGGTTTGATCTTTTAGATGAAGGATAAATGCAAATGAAAATAAGGACAGAGCAAACAGTAGAGGCAGAACAAGTAGATATCCATTTCCCAGAACAGAGTTGACAATTTTTGAGGAAAACACAAACATATTATATTTTTAAATATAATATGTTTGTGTTTTCCTCAAAATGAAATATATGAACTATTATTCTGAAATCATTCCTGTAACCATCACATAAGTAGAATATGTATTGTTTCATTTACTTGGTAATAATCTTTTGTCATTCACTGGTTCACTTTTTCCCTGTTTTGCTTTTCGTTTTATGTATATTTTATACTCATTAACTGAAATGAGAATATAGTATGTGGTATTTGTATTTTGAATTCAAGAATTTTAAATATAGATCTACTGGCAAATATACCAACTATTTGAAGATATAACCACTATTTGTATGAAAACAGATGTTTTATTTCAAACAGATTATAGCTAAAAAGAAATCAATTTTTTTTTGAGATTTGAGATTTCTAAACTGTAAAATAAAAACAAGAGATTTTTCAGATGTTTTTTTTTTTTTTCTTCAGATTTGTTAGTTGCCATAAATACTGATCAAGGAAGATGTAAATGTACAGCAGTTCGAAGTGCTATCTGTGAAAAGAACTCTTTCTTATATATAAACACTGTGTGCATTGAGTAATTTTATTGTACATGTTTTGAATGAGATGATAAAATTGGAAAAAGATCCTAGTTTAGTTTAACTTGCCGTTATTTGTGTGTTTGTAAATAATTGGAGGAAAGCATCTTCCTGGAGTCAAGGTAGCTCGGTCTTGTATTTCATTTCAAGATGTGTAATTTGATCAAAGAGCCTGTGTCTGGTTTGAACAACACTGATTTTTACACATCTCCATTGGTGTCATATTTGCTGCTGCCTGCTTAAATTATCCAATTCGAAATTGTTGCTCTTATAAATTTAGACGTATAATAATACATGTAAAGATTGATTGGAAGACTGTCATTTTGGTCACAGAGGTTGTACTGGTGCTAACCAGTGCTAATTTGTTGGATTTGGAAAGAGACTGAGAATTGTGGTTTAAGATCACTTGACACAAACTAGGTCATTTTGGGACTTAACATACACTTCAATTTAATTTCAATAATTTGCTTACACATATAGGGGTCTTTAGCTGTGGGAAGCAGGCAGCCAATGAGGTTATGGTTCAAGTTTAGTCCCTTGGGGGGCCGCAATATACTGTATGTACATAAAGGGTTATGGAGTCTACATATCAAGGAGAATTGTAATCAATGAAAAAAACAATATTACTTTTTATGCTTTTTTTATTTAATAGAAGCATATTTCTATACATACAAAAGTTGCAATAAGAAGAAAAAAATGGATCATGTACAATTATATAACCATAGATAAGGAGAGAAAGCTATTTTAAGAGATTTACAATATTGTAATAGAAATGATCTCATGACAGTACCACCTAGCTTGGTAACTTGTATCAAGGTTCCTGTGGTTTATCACTCTACTTGGAAGCCCGACCTACAACAATCAACATTATTTGATCATTTTCTTTACTTATCATTATAGTGAAGCATACCTACACCCCAGGAGCAGTTACAAATAATATAAAAATACATCTTAAGTTTCATTATCAGGAATTGGCCCCTAACAACTATACTATTAAAAATCATGAGCATAGGTATCCTAAACTCATAACCATTCTCAAACTATATTTTTTATCTTCAACACAGTTTCTTTTTTAAAAAATTTTTTTTAGACGAAAATCAGAAAATAATAATGAAGACCTCAGTAATAAGTGGACTGCAGTTATATAAGAGTTGTACCCCTTTGTATTCATTTGTGATTGGTTTCTTTTTTATGGTCAAAACAGATTCAGATATTAATTGTAACATCTTCTGATATCATCAAAAGGCTTCTTAGTATCTTCTTCATGACAGAAGAGATAAATTCCACAAAGAAACTGTTTAATTCTAACAGCTTCCCAAACAATGTTCTCCATAATGTTTAGTTGCAAGTGAGTGCAAAAATATTTAATGCAAATTGTTTTCCTGTGACAGTAAAATGTGCGCAAGGTATTTTTATGTACTTAAATTTGTTTCAAGATAATCTCGTCACTGCCTATTTCTAATGCCTAGTAAAATTGTACTGGCAATTAGCATTGGTTTTATATAAAACAAGTAAAATCACATTGCCTGCCGTTTCTGAGAACCAGAATGTTTTCAATATGGACTAGGATTTGTATGCACATTAATTTCCTTTGCGCACTCATTGTAAAACAGCTGTAAGGGAACAGTTTGAATTGGTTTAAAGAAAGTCCTTCTCTTCCTTGTTGATGTAGAACAAACCATATGTGTGGTAGTTAAGTAGTAATATTTATCTAATACAGAAGTTAAGCCATCGGTAACTATCAAAATAATAGAACTGTATATTTTACATAATAAATCCAAGACCGGGAAGTCTATTTTCAGACACTTAGGGCAGGACGGAGAGAGAGCGAAATGAGGTTTAATGCCCATTCAACATTAACTAGTCATTTTGGGAATAACATGGTGCAATTTTATTTCAATAATATGCATGCGCATATGGGTCTTTAGTAGTGGACAGAAACTTGAGGTGACCCCACTCCTTGTCACATACAAGTGTGGGTTGAAAAATACACGACTTGACTCAATGACAGACATTATGATCTAAGGCGAACACATTAGTCTAATTATTAGACCAACCGACACCCCTGTCCGAAGTTGGAAATTCCTACAATTCAAAGTTGTACACCACGAGGGTCACAAAAATATGTTGGGGCTTAAGTAAGTAACCCTAACTTCTGATAGATGAATTTTCCATTACATTTATGGAAATGACCTCTCCAACCGGCCTGATCCAACTGTTCTGAAAAAAGGCAACACCATCCAAGACAGCTTAAGGTAAAAATTAGCTATGGTATTATGGGTACAATTACATATGAAATGCGATAAATGTCTATTAATGTTAAAGCTAAATAGTTGAAATTTTTCTCATATATACAAAAGAATTAATTAATCTTTATAAACAATTTTATCCGAGAGTTAAATAATTAAAAAAAAAAAAAAAAAAATCAAAATAATTAGATAAAATAAAATGCTGAAAATGAAAGAAACTGAAAATAAATGACTAATCACTACTATTTTACAAGAAATATTATAAATGTATATATTACAATATATAATCCCTCCAAAATAAACTTTAGCAATATCTATCTGGTGTCCACAAGAGCAAACAGAAAGCTAATCTAAACTAAGAAAAAATAAAATCTACAAACAGGGTTGAAATAAAGAAAGTTACCCAAATGATCTTTTTGTGATTTCTCTTTTGTGATGTTGGTTATTATTTCCAAGAAATAAATTAATTTTTATTTTATAAGATTAAGCTAGCCCGTAGACACTGGCTTGTGCACCTCAATAATTAGCAATGAATAGACCAATACATGTACAATAAATATTTGTGGGGATTAAACCACCTGTAATAAGATTCCATCTACCTTTCATATGACCTACTGTTTGCACCTTCCAGACAATATCCCCCTCCCACTTGATCTGTGTGGAGCCTTGATTTAGTGGAAATCAGTTGTTTAGTAATTTTACAGGCGAATCTTAAACAAATTTGTTATATCAATTTGTTTCTTAATCAAGATGATGAATAAAGACTGATTTTCATCTCGCAAACAAATTAACACAATATACATGTAATTAACGAAAGCAAAAGCCAAATCAAGAGTCTATCTCCTTTATCTATATAAAGTTTTGAAAATCACAGTAATTAAATCAAAAAATATATTTGAATCTTTGGTGAAAAACAAAACCCTGCATTCAGTATTCTAGGTTATTGTTGTAACACGTGACCAGCACACAAACAACAAATATCAAAGTCCACTGGCAGCAGTACCATTCAAATAAATATCGCAACCAATCAAATAAGCACCTTGCTGTTCTTAAAATATCAGCAAAAGTACACATTAGATAAGTAAAATGCTGCAAATGTATTCATCAAGTTACAAAACAAAGGGAGTTAACTCAGATTGTAACAGAAACATAGGTAATACTTTAACTTTCTGTTCAATTTTTCAAGTGGGGAAATAATAAATGTGTACTAATTTCAAGAAGTTTTGTTTATTCGGTCGCATATGTTAAGATGATTTAATAATGCTGAATTTTCTGTTAAAAATCGATCCATTATAAATTATAAGCAAATTTTAAGCATTATCATTACATTGAAAATCATAAAATACTTCCATAAAGAATGATTTCTCAAAAGATCAAATCTGAACGGCTAATGAGTAACTTAATAATTATTTTAATCCAGTTTATTTATAGAAACTTAACATGTTCTTTAAAAAACATAAAGTGGTCTTAAATTAATTAAATGTATTCATTTGACAACAAATGATAACAAACAGCTTAAACTCATGTTTACGATAGAATACAAAAGTCTTTTATTAAAGTTCCGGGTTTTTTTTTCGTAGTCCATTTTCTCTTACGTTTTATTATTTTTTAAGAATTTTTTTTTTAATCAGCTTTTTATTCACGGCTCTGTATATTCAACAAACCAGTTCAACATAAAATATAAATTTACAATATTTTACAAATTTTCTTCTTTGGGGGTTTGGGTTTTGGGCATAGAACTGCTCGAATTGCTTCATCAAACACGTTCTTAAGACCTTTTTGTGTGAGAGCAGAGCACTCTAAGTACTTGACTGCGCCAATTTCTTTAGCCATAGCAAGGCCTTGTGGGTAGGTTATAGGTGATAGTTTCTTTTCTTTCAGCTTTTCAATAGTTTCTTTATCTTCTCTCAGATCGAGCTTGGTTCCTACCAATATAATGGGTGTCTGGGGACAGTGATGACTTACTTCAGGAAACCACTAGAATGCAAAAAGAATTCACAGTTAGTAATTCAAAATATGTCATGCTGTCAGAGGATCCCTAATTTCTACATCCATTTTTCTCTATAATGCTGGGTGTGGGACAGGTGTTATGGGCGTGCTGTCAGAGGATATGTAAATCCAGTTTTCACTATAATGTCGGATGATAATGGCTGTGCTGTCTCTATATCCATTTTTCACTATAATGCCATACGTGAGACATCGGTTTGGGTCATGCTATCAGAGGATCTCTACATGTACATCTATTTTACACTATAATGTTGGGTGTCGATTAGGGTGGTGCTGTCACAGGATTTCTATATCCACCGTTCACTATATAATGCTTTTCGTGGGTTAGGTCCATGCTGTCCTACGATATCTATATGTACATCCAGTTTTCACTATAGTATAATGCTGGGTGTGGGTTAGGACAGTGCTGTCTGAGGATTTCTACTTCATTGTGAATCAGTGAATAACTATACATTCACTGGTAATATGTACTTTGTGTGTTTGTAGACAGTGAATCATGTTTATGTTTTACAAGACTTCCCACATTTATTATAGCCTAGGTTGTTGTCTCTAGATTATAAGTAAATTAAATTTTACAAACCTTTGCTCGGACGTTTTCAAAACTGGCTGGACTGATAAGGGAAAAACATATAAGGAATACATCCTGGAAAAAAATAATAAATCCATAAATCAATTTAAAAATAAATTTCACATAACCCAAATTATATTTAATTTTTAGTTATTTTACACATAAACTATAAATTCAACTGTAGGTATTTACTGCGTTTTAAGGTTAATTTCTAATTTTATGGCATGTAAGATTGACTGACAGGTAAATTCTCCAGCTGTTCAATTTCACTGTCAGTCAGTTACATGTAGAACTGGCAAAATTGGCGCCTTATACTCATTTTATACCTCTGCATACTATTTTATGTACCCATGCACATTACATAGGAAATATTTCTTATCCAGATATATATACTTCAAACATCTTTATTTTTTCTTAATAATTCAATAAAAAAAGGTTTTAGAAATTTAATTTGTAGAAGAAAAATGGTAGATATAGAGAGCTACATGTAATAAAGTCACATCGATGTCACTCCTATCAGTGATATTGGCAGCCAAGTGAATATTTACTGCTGATCAGTCTGATGTAATATACATGTAGGTCTTTATAATGAATACAGTACCGATATTAAATTTGCACTAATATATTATTACAAAATTTTTCAAAAGCACAAACCATAAATGACTTCACTGTAAATAGAGATTTTTATCCCTTAAATAATATAATTAAAGGGGCATTAGGTAAGATTAGATAAAGAGCTGACAGTACTCACTATAATAGTTTTAAAAATGATAATGAAAAGAGAATATGCTGAAAATTTTAGTCAAATTGCTTTACTCTGAACCTAGATATTAGCGATTCAATTTTAGGCTTGCCTTCATCGTCATTACTAACATTGTTACGATAATATGTATAATATGTACCGTTGTTACGATTTATCCATTTTTACCGCTATTTTATCCATCACAAAGCGTATTCAAATCTACTAAATATCGCAGGCTAATGATGGCATCGAGAGCTGGTTATGTCTGGATAAGTTAATTAATGACTAATTAATAATTTAGAGAACATTTAAGGCCTAAAGAAAGACCTGCAATAGGCAGATTTAGCTCTTATATAATGTATGTATAAATTGAAATCTATTGGTTTATTACACATAAAGGACAATTTGAATCTATTGAAGAAAATTATTGACAAAATAAACACCTACTGTTTGAGGATAAGATAATGGTCTTAATCTATCATAATCTTCTTGTCCTGCTGTATCCCATAATCCTAGATTAATAGGTTTACCATCTACCATAACATTGGCAGAATAATTATCAAACCTGAAAATAAATTATATACAAATGAGAAATTCAACAAATCATCATACTAACATATTAGCACCAGATAACATATTAAGGCACATCAGTGGTGCAGGAAGGAGGACCTGGCAAGGACAGTATCTAGTTGTTTGCATGGTATGAAAAACCAAGGTCCTGTGTACATATTGGCATGCATGTAAAAAAACCCTTGACAGTTGAATTCGATATAGGAGTAGACTGTAGGGCCACTGTTTGGGCAAAATTCCCCTCATAGCCCATAGCACATTGTAAGACATATGCTCTTCTCCATTAGCCCAGTCAGTGCAGATCAGTAGCATATTAAACCCCATTCATTTCATTATATATTTGAAAATCATGATACCCTTATAGCTGTTCGTTTGTTATAATTTTGATAATACCGGTATTCGATTTTTGTATGCAAGTGGAGGAGAACCAAGGTGACTTGGTGAGTATGACACCGTTTCACAAACCATGTGACCTGGGTTTGATCATGGTGGGGACCAAGAAAGTTCCTCAAGATTTTCAAGCCTAGATTCCCCATGTTGCATAGGACGAAAAATCAAGGTCCAATGTACACAATTGACAGGCAATGACAGCACGTTCAAATTCAAATGACCATTGGAACTGCAAATAAAAGTAAGCTGTGGAACTGCTGTCAGGGCGAAATTCACTCATGGCATTATGCCAGTCTTATTAGTCTGGTTGGTACAGAAATGTACGACGCTAGTACACCTCATTTCGTTTCATTTTGTATGAAAAGTGTCTTATTTAATATTAATCACATATTACCTATGAATAATTCAATATCCACATACATTGTATGCTTGCACAATTGTTCTTTTTATGCAATAACATACCTTATTCTATTACAATACACTGTGTTGGCAAATGTTTTGTGGATTATTTCGCCCAACAATTATTTGATATTTTAGAAAATTCATGTATAATGTCTTTATCTATAATTTTTATATATGAAATTTTCACAGTGTTTTTTTCACATTTTTTAATAGTGGATGGGAAACATAAAATACATTGTGCCCTCAACATACTTTATTTATAACTTTTTCAATAACACCCATATTGTTCATGAAGACTATTATAAACAAATACTATCAAAACCATAAGAATAACATAAAATCTTAAATAAAATAATATATTATAATAAATTAAATATTTGCCGGAAGGTAGTGCACAAACTGTTCTATTAAAAATAGCAATAATAGATATTGTCCATGGTTGTTATTTTAAATACAGGCCTACAGTGTACATGTTCTATCAAAACCAATAGAATAATATAAAATCTTTAAACTAAATAAATATATTGTTATTCATAAATTAAATATTAGCCTGAAGTGAATGCAAAAACTGTTCGTCTAAAAATAGCAATATGTCAGTTTAGCTTTTAATAAAAAGGTTAACTCATAATGCTTCAGGGTACATGTATTTCACAGCCTAGTTAAATGGTTTATAAGTAGTTATTAAAGGAATAATTTGAACTGTGAACTAATGACCCCTAGCATGTAATTTATCAGAGACCAGTTATTATTATTATCACTAATCAGGAAGTTAGAACACTTCAAATAGTGTGGTTCATTACATTATGACCTATTGTATTCTATTCCATTACACCGCTTTAAATTTATTTAAATATACTTCCATTTTACAACACAAGGCTATTCTCACACAGCAAATATTATATCCACAATAAAAGTTAAGTATAGACTTTAAGACCATACACATGCAAAAAGTGCTTTGATTAATGAACATTTTGGTCTACAAATTATACAAATCGATCAATTTTGCTTTGGCCATTTAAAGTTTAAATGTTGTTGGGTTTTTTTTTAATGGATTCATATTGCCATCTTTATCTGTCTTGGACAAAAAAAGAATTAATAAATCTGCTACATTCCAGCTCATTGTTCATGAGCATTATTTTTATATACCCAGCTCTACTTACACGTACATGTACGTAGATAATTTTCACATTTATATTGTACATATTTTTTACTTTCAAGATGATGATGTGTATGTAAAAATCTGGGTTGTTATGACTTTAATAACCTGTGTTATTATAATAATGTATATCAGGAATAAAATTACTAAGTTTAAAATTATACATCCTTTATTACCCAAATCATAAAGTTGTTTTTTTAAAAGTTGATATAACAAAGACATGTCCTAAATTGTCTCTTATGTAATGTGAGGTAAATGTAAAATAAGAGTTAAATAACAAGAATATTTTATATACATTGTAACTAAGTAAAACTATCTAATATACACAAGAAGATTAATTGATATAAGTAAAACTATATGTACATGTAGTATATACTCTATAAACAAACAAGGAAGTATTATAGCTAGATATAGATCTAGGGTGTTAACTAGAAATATTAACCAATTGATTTACGCATTAAATTTCGGACATGGCAAGAACTCAAATAACAAGAATATTTTATATACATTGTAACTAAGTAAAACTATCTAATATACACAAGAAGATTAATTGATATAAGTAAAACTATATGTACATGTAGTATATACTCTATAAACAAGCCAACAGTGAGGCTGATGTCCCCCGCCGAAATTGCAAAATAAATAGATGACACATATTAATTAATCGCACATTTATTTTTTTCACTAAGTTTCATCACTCTCTATCAGATAGAATCAAGATTATGTTGTCCCAAACCATCGACAAATGAAATCGATTAGCTCTGCTTAGCTTCAGCTCGAAATGTTAATTATTGAACTCAGTCAAGACATTCACCTAATGAACATCTACATATACATCAAGTTTAAACATTCACCTAATAGACACCTATGCCAAGTTTGAACATTCTACCTCAATTAGAAGGAGAGTTATTGTGTTCCAAAGTTTCTACCAATCAAATTGCTTATCACTCTGCTTACCCTCAGCAAAAAATGTTCATTATCGAACTTAGTTAAGGTATTCATATAATAAATCTATACACCAAGTTTCATCAATCTCACTTAATTAGAACTAAAGTTATCGTGTCCCAAAGCATCAACCAATCAAATTGCTTATCTCTGCTTACCCTAAGCGGAAAATGCTCATCTTCGAACTCCATCAAGGCATTGACCTAATCAACACATACACCAAGTTTGAACATTCTAGCTCAATTAGGAAGAGAGTTATCGTGCCCCAAAGTATCAACCAATCAAATTGCTTATCTCTGCTTACCCTAAGCGGAAAATGCTCATCTTCGAACTCCATCAAGGCATTGACCTAATAAACACATACACCAAGTTTGAACATTCTAGCTCAATTAAAAGTTATCGTGTCCCAAAGCATCAACCAATCAAATTGCTTATCTCTGCTTACCCTAAGCGGAAAATGCTCATCTTCGAACTCCATCAAGGCATTGACCTAATCAACACATACACCAAGTTTGAACATTCTAGCCCAATTAGGAAGAGAGTTATCGTGTCCCAAAGCATCAACCAATCAAATTGCTTATCTCTGCTTACCCTAAGCGGAAAATGCTCATCTTCGAACTCCATCAAGGCATTGACCTACATGTAATAAACACATACACCAAGTTTGAACATTCTAGCTCAATTAGGAAGAGAGTTATTGTGTCCCAAAAAGTGTGACGGACAGACGGACGGACAGACAGACGGACAGACAGACAGACAGACAGACAGACCCATTTTAATAGTCCCCTGCTTTCTTCGAAAGGCGGGGGACAACAAACAAGGAAGTATTATAGCTAGATATAGATCTAGGGTGTTAACTAGAAATATTAACCAATTGATTTACGCATTAAATTTCGGACATGGCAAGAACTCAGATTCACTTGAAGCTACATGTATATGTACATTAAATTAAATAGGTTTAATATTTATGTTACAAAGTCATGACACCATTATTGAGACACATTAATATTTATGCTAATGATCTACATGTACATATATGAATTCATGACACCATTCTTGAGGAATTAGTGTTAACACTTATAATGTTATCATCTTTATTATATAATGATTCATAAGTTCTACTTCTACATGTATTACTTATCTGATTATTACATATATACATGTAGGCCAAATTGTTCAGATTTTTACTCACTCTATTTTACATATTTTAGCTATGACAGAGTCAATTTCTCTTTTTTATGAAGGTTTTTTTTAATTTTTATTAGCTATTAATAGTTGCAATTCGAAATAACAGTAGGCTGTATTGCCACTGTTTGGTCAAGGTGGAACAGAAAAGTATTACCCATTTAATTTCAATTCTGTTACCAGACTAATTTAAACAAAACGTCAATATTACAAACTTTATCATAGATGAAAATCTTTTGTATTTTTTAGCATTATCTTTAACACAAATCTTCTGTATATTTTGAAATAAAATACTTATATGAAATCGCTTTCAGAATAAAAAAAAAATTGTTATCAAAAGGGTAACAAGTACATCATATTGGCTTTTTAATAATGATCTTTATTCATTACACAATCTGTTAATATAATTGCTTTCAAACCATTGGCCAAAGAGTACCTTGGTGAATTAAATAAAAAAAAAATATATTAGCAATCATTCCCTAATGTTTATATAACATATCTGAATTTTCAATTTATTATGTGATGTATGCTTTTTCTTACCAGTTTTATTAATGATATTTCTATACTTTAAATAAAGGAAGTCTGTTGAAATATAAGATAAGGTGTTTTCTTAAATGTATGATAAAAAATATATCAAGTTTTAGTAGATAAGACATACTGATGATCAACATACTGCCAGACTTTGAAAGATTACACTGTGTTTAATAATGGTAAAATAAGTTTCAATATAAAGTTTCTATTTGTTATGTCTGGCAGAAGTTGAGAATGCTTAGGAACATGTCCAATTTAATTTTTCATTGAATTATTAGATTATATGCAGCCTAACCATGAGCATCCGAGCTACTGAAAAACGACAGTCTTACGCTGAATGCAGAAAACTGAACTAATGGCGTGAATGTGATTAATATTTTTATCATCACAATTTAAGTGCTTGTTTTGATTAAATAACAAACACAACATCCAGTCATTGTATTATGAATGCTCACATTCAAAATATATGATCCATCAGATATTTGCATGGCAGAAAATGTTCTATCTTTCAATTTGTTGGACTGTTAATATACGCCTGTATAGGGTGTATGGTTATATTTTACTTAGGAACATAGACAATTGAATATTTTATTGAACTATCAGATTTTTAGTAACCATGAACACTTAATAAAGAAAAACTCCAGTCGCAACTCCTGGTGCTAACCAATTTTTATTTTCATTTTTAAACCCAGTAGATGATGCAGGACATGTACATGTATTTACCATCGTAATGAGAAGAGTGTGTGAAATAACTTTATTTTAAGTCTGCTTCCACCGAGGTGATATTGCAGACAAATGAGAAGAAAAGTGATTGACTCATAATACATTTACCATTACATGATCATTTGTAATATATGTTTTCATTGATTGGCACACCTTGCTCGGAAGCCAATCTGCTGTTAAAACTAAAATTCTGGGTCATGAATACAATGGTTTAATCAAGAGAGTGTTCAATCAACCCTGGTATTTGGAGAATGACTGCCTCAATATAAATAAGAAATTATTAACAATAACAATAATAATATCTAGTTTGAAATTTCCTTGTCTTTTCTAAGAAAAAAAAAATTTCCTTTCCAGAAAATATATTCACTGTCAAGTTAGAGAAAATTGAAAATAATTCTTCAATACCATGTATTTTTAAGAGTTTCAATGGACTAATATGGAGCGGGTCACACAATATTGATAAAATAAATGTGTTGATTTACGTCAATGCACAATTCAGCATCACATGTTCATTATTTAAAGTATTTCTATGTTATAAAGAATTAGCTTTGGGTGTTAACTGTTCTCCTAAAATAACAATCAGTTAAGACAGGAACAACCAGTAACCTACATTTATATGTTTCAAGGATGTGAATGTGAATTTGCATATTATTAAAAGTACATGTACATTATCTACCATTCTAAAAAGTGTTCTTTTTTATTCAATATAAAAAGATAAGTTGCCAGGCAACACAACATACACCCACAGCAGCTAAGTCGTCCGGGCAGTCAACATATTTTTTTTCTTTTGTCAATAATGAAAATATTTACAACACACTAAAATGATTACTAGTAAAAATCCATATACCAATGTTTAGTATAACATTTAATATCAAGGGTCATAACTCTGGCAGCAATTATCGGAAATTGTTGAAAATCAGTATGGCAGTGATCAAGAGCCATAACTCTGGCAGTACATGTAATTATCAGAAATCGTTGAAAATCAATAGGCTTCTTCGTCTGATGACCTTAAACACTGTGTATAACTTTAAAGTCAATGGATTATTAACTTTAGCCTCTAGAGCATCCGCAAGATATTTCAAAGTGATCAAGGGCCATAACTCTGGCAGTAATTATCGGAAATCATTGAAAATCAATAGGCTTCCCCGTCTCATGACCTTAAAAACACTGTGTATAACTTTAAAGTCAATGGGTTATTAACTTTAGCCTCTAGAGCATCCGCAAGATATTTCAAAGTGATCAAGGGCCATAACTCTGGCAGTAATTATCAGAAATCATTGAAAATCAATAGGTTTCTTCGTTTGATGACCATAAACACTGTGTATAAATATTAAAGTCAATTGGATCTTAACTGTAGCCTCTAGAGCGTCCACAAGATTTTTTAAAGTGATCAAGGGCCATAACTCTGGCAGTAATTATCGGAAATCATTGAAAACCAATAGGCTTCCCCATCTCATGACCTTAAACACTGTGTATACATTTAAAGTCAATCTGATATTAACTTTAGCCTCTAGAGTGTCTACAAGCAATTGTGGACACAAGATGGACGGACTGAGGACAGTATACGATCACATTTCCATGTGGGCATTTAAAAATTTCGCAGTAATGTGAACTTAATGTATTTTTGTTGTTTGATCAATATCTCGGACCCTTGTGTATACAAATATACCAAAAATAAGTCAAATCTTTCCATGGAACCACAAAAATTATGAAATTGGGAAATTTCTAATTATTAAAAGGCACAACTAATGTAATATAATATGAACAAAGTTTCATAAAGATATTGTTGAAATGATATGCTCTGGAAGCAAAACCAGGGTGGACAGACAGAGCCCACTTCAATAACCCTCCCATACATGTAGCTTGGTTCAGCGTAGGATAATAAAACCGGCAAGCTATACAGTATGTGCCCGGTGTGTACTAAATATAAGACAGATGATACATGTCAGTTTAGTTTTTTGGTTAGAATAATTATGATGTGACGCAAGTGTGATATGTCATATGCCGAAGACAGATGAGATCAATTTGTTGTTTCAAAGCCAAATACATGTAGGTTGCTAATAAAACTAGTCTACAGTTTAGAATTGATTATCTATGTTAAGTAGCTTTCCATAGCAGAAGCAGACAACAACTACATGTAATAAGGTCACAGTACATACAATGACATCACAAGCCTGTGACAAATTCCAGCAATTCATGAACAGAATTTTTACCTTTTATCATCAGGATCTGTCAACCACTGACATAACCTGGATTGCTTTCATTCAAAATAAATATATTAATTTAAAAATTTATTTGTAACGCTTTTCAGGAACTATTTCCGAGAGAGAATGTACACACCTTCCAGTTTTATCATCTACATGTAGTGCAGATCATGTCAGTAGCATACCCACGCCAGGCTGCACTGTTTGGAAGCTGGCACTTACAGTCTACAGATTTAGAAAACTGCTATTTTCCATGTACACACTGCTTTTTGTTTATGTATGTTTGATGTGTATTCTACAGTGTTGTGTTTTGTGTGTAAGGTGTTGGAGGATGAGGAGTTTTTATTGAGAGACACAACTCTAGATACACCACTGATCGACTGCACCATTTTTTAAGTCCCTCCTACGCATACTCATTTCTTTTTTTATTTATTAAAAAATGATTTTTTTTACTTACACTGTTGGTATATATTCACCAGGGAAGGCATTGGTTGTATAACTGATGAGCAAACAGGTTTTACCAACAGCTCTGAAAAATAAAAAAAAATATAATATACTATTCAAAAAAAGTAGGGGATATTTGATTTTGGGGGCATAATACTAAAATATGCAAATGACTACGAAAAAAGTCACTATAGAACCTAACAGAAGAAGCATTTCCAGTTACATGTGACGCCCAAACGCACCAATAGCTACCGCATGGAATGCAGGTGATGCTTGGGATCATCATGGGGGTCCAACCCAAGATTTGCACGACTCTGACTTTGAATGTTACAGTCATTGTGGCATTGAATTCCAGGGTGGAAACATCAGTTTAATTGTTTTAGTGACCAGAAAACAACTTTTGATATGCGTCGGCTTACCCAAAATGAAAGGTTACGTGCCCTTGGCATGCTACAGATCGGCACAACACAGGCGGTTGTGGCGCGGACGATGAATGTTTCTCAGTCTGTCATAAGCAGGCTATGGTCCAGATACCGTGATACACAATCTGTACAGGACAGACCACGCTCAGGTCGACCAAGGGCGACAACTCAAGCCCAGGATCGATTTATCCGTACCTTGGCCTTGAGAAATCGTGTCATCACAGCAAATCAGATCAGCGCTCGTCTTCAAACAGACACTGGTGTGAGAGTGAGTGGCCAGACGATTCGGAATCGACTGCATAGGGGTCACCTTCGCGCCCGACGTCCTCGCGTGATCCCTTGTTTGAGAGATCATCACATTCAGGCAAGACGTCGTTGGTGTAGGGATCGTCAACACTGGGATAATCGACGCTGGAGCAATGTGATGTTTTCAGATGAGTCAAGGTTCACTGTTGATTTTTTGGACAGACGTAGGAGGGTGTGGCGTCGTCGAAACGAGCGCTTCCAAGACGTTAACGTCATCAGACATGATCGATTTGGGGGTGGTTCTGTTATGGTGTGGGGAGGCATCACTGTTGCTGGAAGAACGGCTTTACATGTTGTTGCAGGGCGTGTTACAGGCCAGTACTACCGGGACAACATCTTGGCAGTCCATGTTGTGCCGTTCGCACGACGTCATGGCCGCCGTTTCATCTTCCAGGATGACAACGCAGGATGTCACAGGGCCAGGATCGTTACAGGTTACCTCCAACAACAGAACATCACCACATTACCTTGGCCAGCACTGAGTCCCGACCTCTCCCCCATCGAGCATGTCTGGGACATGCTTGGACAGAGGTTACGTCAACGTCAACAACGTCCTGCCAATGTCCAAGAACTTGTTGCTGCGTTGCAACAGGAATGGGACAATCTGGACCAAAATGACCTTAGACGTCTCATTAGGAGTATGCCACGTCGGATCAATGCTTGTTTGGCAAACAGAGGAGGATTTACCCGTTACTGACTTGGTTGTGATGCTGTGGTAACTTTGCTGTTTGACCCCGGGTATCATTTTACCCTTATAATGGTCAGTCTGTGCCTTACTTAGTCTAACGATCATTTGGAATAAATCGATGAATGTAAACTTCATTTCATTTTGTCATTTGTTTCTTCGTCAGTTTCATTAGGTGACTTTAATAACACTTAAAAATCAAATATCCCCTACTTTTTTTGAATAGTATATATTCAAGTTACAAGTAAACATCAATCACATAATGGTTGTAGTCAGAAACTGGGAAGTTAGTATAAATGTGTTACAGTAATAAAATTATCTCAAGCTCCGCCAGCCTTACAATACATGTGGAGGCCTAGAAATTGGAGAGGACAAGAATTATGTTAATATAAATGATGTCTATAAAAGTACATGGTACAAAGGTATTCTTCTACTGCCCAATGAGGCTTTTGGGCAATATTCTTACATCCAGCACTACTTTTCTTAGATTTCAGAATTTTAGATAGAAATACCCTGTCTCAAAGACTTAATTAAAATGTGTGAAATTGTTAAATAATTTTATTTGTGACTGGTTGTGGTCCATGGTCTGCTTATATGTTAACACCGACCATGTGGCCTTAACTTCTGAACTCTAAGTGTATTTAGATGCAAGGATGTCTTGCTTTTATCGGGAATGCAAGTCATAATGGGTGTCTTACTCTTTCTGAAATGTTTGATACCACTTCACTTCTTATATATTTTATAAGCTACAGATTCGTTTTGAACCAGGTACATGTATGCTCATTTACTTGAATAGTTCACAAAAATGGAAAGTTCTCACACTCCCAGGACCCCTGGAGGGCAATGTGGAGATGTTATTTTTAACTAATCTCATGTTAACTAGATCTGTACTATTTCAGTACACATCAGACATTAAGCACATTATCTTGTGAAGGTATTCAACTAAGTTTAATACACTGCAACATAGATCTGTTGTTAACAGGAATTTTAAAGAGATGCTAAAAGATGAGCATAAACAATCTGAGTTTAACGAAGATATTTGGAAGAAAATACCTGGTTAATGTGTTTATATTATAAAGTGCTTTAAAGACATAATTTACACTAAATATATGTCCATTTGATAATTTATATAAATACACATACTATACATGTATCATGTCTTAGTGGGGTTTTAACATCCTACTTTTTGTCTTCACTAACTGGACTAATTAAGACATACATAAATGTCAAGGTGTCAAGGTATACATTCACTCTTTATTATATATCCAAGTGTATCACTGTGATGATTAATTGTGTGCTAAGGGACCATCGCAAATTTCTACTCTTTTTCGTCCAAACGAATAACCTGCAGAATTGGGTGGGTTGAACGACACCACGGATAGAAAATGAGGAATTAAATGTGGGTTATTCAATATGGAATCATGAATGGAAATCTGTCAACAATGGTTCCCCAGGTTGATGGGGGAATTAATCTGACATTATACATGTAAAATATACAGACTTAAATTTGGTATGGGTGTCTATAATCTGATATTGTATAAATTGTTATAATTTGTTAGAGTCAGCATTTGTTCAGGTCTTATATTTCCAAAATTCCAACCAGTAGACCAAAATACATGTACATGTACCAGCAAGTCCTTTTAACTTTTGTTTAAATGTAAATTATCAATGGACATTTGATGATTCTATTTATCAGGCAATGTGTTGCAAATCATACAATAGTTCAAGATTATTCCTACTAGAAAGTAAACACATGACCAAACCTATACCTGTTATTATTACTAATACTTGTTATTATGCTAGTCACTATTCTAACAGGAAGTGTGTCATCATTTCTCACTTTCAATCATTATTTCCCCATTCTATTACTTTTTGAAAGCTACACACAAGGATTTGAATTGATATAAATTTGTTAGTATATCATTTTGCAAGTAAAAGGGAGCTGCATCATATACATGTACATGTACAACTAAGAGGCCAAACCAATTTAAATTTTTGTTCTTCCTATTTCTTTTGGAAAAGAAAGTAATTTAAAAACAGACATGTACTTGATTGCTTGTCTAAACAAAAATAATGTGTATTACTTGGGTGGATACTGGTACATCTATTTATTTATGAAGACCCAGAATAACTGGTTTAGCATTCACAATTCAGGACAACTACAACACAGGACAGCAAGGAGATTAAAACAACTTTACATTGAAATTGTATAAAATAAAGTGGTTGTGGGCTCAATTCAAAATGTCAGGCTATAAAAGTTTATTCATTTTTAATACACAAATTCAAGTGGTTTTTTTTATGAACAACTCAGTTTCACAGAAAAGTATAAGCTAGAATTCAAGAATTGGGAGATTTCAAACTCATGAATGTATTTCGGTATTTGCTCTTTTCATTGGTGTAAAAACAAGTAGAAGTAAAAAAACATTTTAGAACAGAAGAATGTCAATTTTCTCAATAGACACATGACTAATTGAATTTATCAATTCAGTTATTTTTATTCCAACGAATTTCTAGTTTAAGTAAATAGTATCTTGTTTAGGAGTGGGGCCTACTAGCTGCTAATATATACTCATCCCTTGTAAAACTATCTTCCACTAAAGTCATAATAGTAGATATAAATGTCAAAGTAGACTGATTAATGTGGGACAATTATAGGCTCTGTCCCTGATTTATATTACATGTAAATATAGGTCTCATTTAGATTTGAAATACTCTGTTGGACAATTACCTCCTCTTTTCCTTGATTTATATTAAATATCTGTCTGGTTTAGTTAATACTCTAATAATATATCAACCATACTGTTAAAATGATACATCAATGAAGCATGACACATTGGCACATACATGTCACGTTTGGCCTAAATATAGTTTATGAGATACAAACAACATTGATAATCAATGCATTTATTCTAACTTACAGTCAAGTAGATTAGTGTATCTTTTAATAAGGAATAAATAATTGCTTTCATGATGACTCAGTATTGTTTGCCTATTGTTGATATTGATATGTTTAAAGGAGCTAAGTCTCTTATTCAATATTTTCCATATTATTTGAAATTAAAAACATGACTTAGAATTCAATATTGATCAATTTCAATCAATATTGATATTGTTATCGTGCCCTGAAACTATAGGATCCTAATATCCAATATTTAAGACACAATTAACATTTCATAATCAGTCATAAACCCTATGGTTTCGGGTGCCATTTTGTAATGAACAAATAAAAACATATCCTACAATACAATGTGGAAGTAATAAGTAAAAGACTGATTCACAAATGACAAAATAATAATTTAAAGAACACGTAGAATGCACTAAGCATGCGTAAACGACTGCCATTCTATTTGAACTGTTCATGTACATGTATTTCACTTGAAATTACAATATTTTTCAAAAATTGAATATAAATCACTTTAAATACATTCATATTACATTAATATGTACTCTAAGAACCATTTTTGTCTATTTCAAGGTTTCAAAAATAGAGCCATACATGCTATATAATCCGACATTAAAATATATTTAATATTTAATAAAATATATTTAATTAGCCCTTTTATACTGTAGGTCTAAACTACTGAGAGGTTACAGTGTACTTTCAGTTGACAATAAAGTGAGGACAGGTGTGAATCTAGGTTTATGTTTTCAGTTACATGATAACTTTTTCTC